ACATAAACCACTCCTGCGTGCATGCATTCACAATACGGACGGACGCCTTCAGAGTTGCAGAGACCCCTGGCCAAGCACAGGTTGCATTCCTGATTATGGTAAGTGACAAGACACCTACTACTCACCCAATGCTTACGGGTGGAAACACACACACACACACACACACGCAAAACCGGCACAGAGGAGACCCTAACATCCTGAACCCTAGCAATTCTGGAACCCCGAAGCCTCTCTACATCCGAAAACCTCCAGAAAGCCTTAACCCCTGCGCCATAAGCAATATCATAGAACCGTTGTAGACCCCGTTTTACAGGATTAAACCCTAAACCCTAAACCCCAACCTTTTAAAGGAACCCTTTAAGGGAGCTCTAAGAAAGCCGCCTGTTCTTCGTTGGCGGCCGCTTTCGCAGGCGCGGCGGTCGCCGCTGAAGGGAAGGCCGAAGTGGTGAGGCGGAGGGTGCCGCGGACACGCGCCCTGGACTCCGGATTTATGAGTGGTTGTCAAAATTAGGGTCTTTTTTGGGCACCATAAATATTACATAGGTTATTGGGTGCCGTATTATAATAGGTACCCGAAAAGGAACCATAATTTTGACAACCACCCTTATAGACTTGAGGGACTCCCCAGAGAAACCAATACCCCTTACTTAAGGAACATATCTTAAATGATAGAGGTCTTAATATTATGATGTAAGGTATATTCCTTAATTAAGGGGTATTGGGATCTCTGGGTCCGGATTCATAGAGCTTCAGCGGTTTATGCAGGATTTATGGTTTGGAATGGCCTGCATAGTTAGGGCCCCAACAAAGCACATAAGCAAAAAATCAGATAGGGATATCCCATATAAACCCCCTTAAAAGGAAGCCCAATAAGGTAGGGATATCCCGGTAAAATGCTTATGCTTATGTGCTTTTTGGGTCCCTCAATAATGCATTTCGGATTTCTGGCTCGATGCTTGGAAGTTTAGGGTTTATATCGGGTATTCTTGATTTATGACTTCTGGTTTTCTGATGCCTTGTAGACACCTTGTGGGGTTCATTCTGCTGTAGCTTCTTTGGTCTGCGACTTCCCCGTCGAGGGTGACAAGCTTGACTGGCTTGGCATTAAAGAGGGTCAGGGTGCTTTGAATCTGTGCTGTGAGTATTTTCGGGAACTCGATGCTCCTACAAATTTCTGGCTCCCAATATAATTGAAACCATAATTCACCCAACTTGTAGCTAACTTACAGAAGTCCGTTAAGAACCGCTCTGGCACCCTGAAATCCTGAAGAATCCTGCGCAAGATCGGCCCTTATGCATTTGACCTAGCCTAGTTTGGGGTTTGGGATCGACTTCGAAGCTTTGGGCGCACGTCAACAAATCTGTTACTCTGGGTTAGCTTGTAGAAAGTCTGCTATTTTTTATGTGGCTTACCGAAAATAAATAAGCCCGTCAATGACCCTATAGAACCTTTGTAAGCGCAGAATATCTGGAAAACTGCACGCTACCAAAACCGACAACCCTGTAAAGGAGCCTGTATTGGAACCCCGAAAAGGAAACCTTAAAGGAGCCCCTAACGGAATCCCGAAAAGGCACCCTTAACCCCTTCCCTGAAACGAACTTTTCACGGAGCCCTCAAAGGAACTCCCAAACCCGGATCCGAGCCTTCGCACCAAACTCCGCCGCGGCGTGGGCGCGCCGAGGCTCTGGAAGCTTCGGCTCGTGTCCTACAAAGGGGTAGTTGCAAGGGTTTCTGCAAGGGTCACTCTAAAGAGATCTAGAACCCCTCTATAAGGGCATGGGGTTTTGGGGCCTACTTGGAGGTTCATGGGTAGTTATAAGTGGGGTTGTAAAGTAGGGTAACTATAGTTATGACTCCTCTTCGGGGGCTTATAACCCTACTTACAGCTACCCATGAACCTCCAAGTAGGGTTTAGGGTTTTTCTGGTCTGGGATTTAGGGTTTGGGGGTTTGGGCGAGGCAAAGGGTTCTTGGGGCGTGATGTTCTTCCAAAGAGTTGTTGGAGTGGGGTTTCGGGTTTCCTTCCAAGAGGGTGTTCAGGGGTAGGGTTTGTTTGAAGGGTTTAAGGCTGAAGGGCTTTTGGGGAGGGTTTTAGGCGTTGAGGTGTTCAGGTGTAGGGTTTGTTAGAGGTTTGGGGTGCAGGGTTTTCGGGTTGGGGGCTCTAGCATGTAGGTCCTTTAAGGGCTCCTTCGAGGATTTAGGGTCGAGCGTTTTGCCTTTAGCATGTTAAGCTTTCCTTCGCTGCTTCGGGGGTTTGGGGGCTTCGGAGTTAAGTACTGCCGTAAGGCTTAAGGGTTCCTATAAGGGTTCCTATAAGGGTTCCTATAAGGGTTCCTATAAGGGTTACTAGTTATTGCAGATTCCTTTTGGATTTTACAAGGGATGTTTTCTCCATTCGGAGGGTTGCGGACATGGAGCCTAAGATTCGCGTAAGTTTCGGGTTCTAAGGTTGAACATTCTTTTGCCGTCAAGGGGTGTTGGCAGGGTTCCTCAAGCGATTCAAGGAGGAACATTCCGGGGCTTCTGGAAGGGCTTTATAAGGTGCGATAGATAAAGGTGTAGGGAACCGGCCGGTGGTTCTTGAACCTACGGGTTTAGGGAACCACTGCCTCCAGGCTGGCGCCCGGCGCGGACCAGGCCAATACCACCCTCCTGCATTCCAGGCTTCAGGACTTTGCGACGTGAGGAGAAAAAGGCGTAGCCTGCTCACCACAGACTTCCTACGTCCTAAATCCCACTCCCCCAGAACACACCACGAACAAGACTGTCAACCACGGACCAAAAGGACCCACTGCTCCAGCGACTGGAAGTCTCATCACATCCAACAGGGCCTAGATTGAATCACACCAATATAAGTTGAGCTAATGATCTCGTAGGACTTTATGCCGGTGACGGCGATTTACAGCATGCATGAAGGATCTTTACCGGGCTGTTCATGCTGTTCTAGAACACACTAAACCCTAATCGTGAAACCAAAACTCTAAGCTCTACACCATCCTAAACCCTGAACCCCAAACCCTAAAACCCAAACCCGACACCCTGCATCCCAGCCCACAAAAGGCTCTCTCCAGCCTCAGGGGGTGCGTCGACTGCCGCTTCGAAAGCTCCAAATCCTAAACCCCCAAAACCTTATGCATATCAGCTTAGGAATTAGGGTTTAGGGTTTGCCGCAAAATATCGACTCAACGAGTAAGCAACTTTACAGTCGCGAGTCGCAAGCCTCAAATGCTTGATTCTCAAACGGTAAATGCTCCCGCTCAACACAGACAGCCCAATACCCCTTAAACAAAAATATGCTTCAAACAAGAAGACGAAGCCTAGCTCGGGTATATGGCACGACTTGACAGGCATGGCTCCAACTCATGGCAAACCGCTGCAAACCGTCGAAAACCTGGCTAAAACCAACTGAACCCCCTCTCAACACCAACCCACCCCCACACACGCACAGAGACAGTCACTCTGACTCACTCACTCACTTACTTACTTAATTACTTACTCCGGAAGCACAGACACACACACACACACACTCACTCACTCACTCCCTCGCTCACTCACTCCCCCACTCACTTACAACTTCACACAACCGCACAATTGCAAACCCAAAACCTGACCCCTGAACCCTCGGTCAAAACTCTAGACCTGAACCCTGAACTCCAAACCGTCTTAAACCCTAAACCCCCTAAACCCTCAACCCCTTTATGAAACCCGTGCGAGATCCTCAACATAAACCCATAGCCTGAACCCTGAACCCCAAACCAGCCTGAACCCTAAACCCTAAATCCCATACCCCTCCACCCTTCAAAAAGACCTTCCAGGACGGCGTCGTTCTGCCACGGAGCTGCTGGAGGACTCGCTGGAGGATTCCTGGAGGATAGCCTTGCAGGGAGACGAGATCGGCGGCCCTTTAAACGAGGGCACTGGGTTTTGGGTTTCCGGTTCACGGTTCACTTGTGATAAAGATCCCTACTAAACCTTCAAGCCTAACCAAAGCCCAACTAAACACTACTAAGTCCAAAACCATAACTGCCAAACCCTGAACCCTTGGGCTGGATCCTTGTTTTTGGAGGATCGCTATCTTCCGAAAGTCTCACGTTCAATTTTTGGATCGCGGACTCGGATCCAGCTGAATTCCGGGGCGGGCTTCCATTTGAGTTTGGGGCTTAGGTTTTTTCTAGGGCGCCCGGATCCCGCAGGTCCCGAGAGGCTTACACAGCCAGAGTTTAGGGCTTAGGGTTGCAGACCGTGCAAGGTCAGGGCGAGGAGCTTGTGGATCTGATGCGACACCAAGAGCCAGTTCTCTAGAAACAAACTCATAGAGTAGGTGTGTCTATTGGAGTGCATTGCTAAGGCTGCCAACTCTTCACGCCAACTCTTGGTTCGTTCTTCGCAAATTCACATGTTAGTCGTTGCGTTTGTAGGGTCGTGACAGCGATGGTAGTGGTGGTGGCGCAGCGGCTCTGCAGTACTTTTTTACGCCGACCACGCACTCGATTGCTGGATTCAGATCGCCAGAGCTTGTCGCCACCGAACTGCTGAGTGAAACGAGGACGCCTTGAGCTTGTCCGGTAACTCCTTTGGGATTATAGTACGAGTTATAAGACCATGATTTACTACCCTAAGGGTTATAATAAGAATTGTAAGGCCAGGATATACCACCCTACGGCTTATAAAATGAGCTATAAGACCATGATTCTCTACCCTTCAGGATATAATCAGAATTATAAGACCATGATATACTACCCTGAAATCTAAAGGTCACTTTACTCTACTATTGAGGAATGCATCGTATGCGAAAACTGCTTGCTCAGGCTTTCGGACTGCTGCCCTCGTCTGCTGGGCTGTGGGGCATGCATAATATGGGGGCCAAAATAATAAGAACAGGGTTTTGGGTTATATAACTGTATTTATAGTAAGCAACCCCCAAGATAGTAGTAGTAATTGCTGTAGGCCCCTCTATTATCAGGGGATTCCCGCGGCTTCAGGGTTCCCAGTGCCCATGACTATGACTGGCGGCCATAGCCGCTACCTTGCTCATGCGATTGCCATACTCCCTGCTGCCACACAGGACCGCAGCCTCCTTCTAACCCAGATCGATGATGCCACTCCCAGCCGTCTGTCCACCATCCGGAACTGTCCTTCGCTCAATGCACTTGGTTTTAATGGGAAACACATAAGAGGTGAGGCGAAACAAAGACGACGCCGCGAGGGACAATGGTCCGTTAAAAACCTTTCTTGCAAGCAGACCCGAGCTGAGACTGGACTGGGGTTTGTGCACATTGCGTCGGCTTGTCAATTTGCTTCCCATCCTCATCGTCGACATGACCAAAATCAGACCGAAACCCCAACACTGTAGCAACATCACCACAATCATCATCACCATCATCATCATCATCAAGCAGCCGTTCTGCATCGCTATCTTCGTCCTCCTCGGAATCGACCCTAAACTGAGAAGCCAACTTGCAAGGCTCCCTCACAAATTCCAAGATCATCCAAGGCTCCCTACAACTGCTCAGGCTCAAGGGAAGGAATCCCCCCAAACTCCCCAAAATAGCACTGGTAATTATTTACGCCCCTATAGAAGCCGATGGCGCAGTTCAACGAGGTATGAATTATGTCGGGGCCTTAATAAAGCGAATAGGGTTTTGGGGCCTATTCTACTATAATTAGAATGAGGAACCCCCACAATACTATAGTTAATTATTTAAGGCCCTTATCCTGAACCCCAAACCCTATAGATCCCTTAAAGGAACCCTTGAGGATCTCTTTTAAGGCCCCTGTAGTACATCCTCAGGATCGCCACGAATGCCCCATTGAAGCATGCTCCTACAAGAGAGTACTATAAGGGTTAAGGGGTTTAGGGTTTAGAGTTTAGGGGTTTAGGATTTGGTGCTTAGGGTTTCATGGTTCGGGATGTTCGGGATTCGGCGTTTGGGGTGGTCTTACCATAACCTACTTGTCCAGTATCCTAGGGCAACTGACTAAAGGTTAACCTTTGGGATTGTATAGGCAGGGGTGAGAGTAGCCCGTAAAGGTTCAAGGGCACCTACCCTATCACTAACAACTTACTCGTCAATTATCTCATGCAGAAGCCCTACCACTTACAGAACACTTACGGAACCTGCAAGAGGACTCCCAAATGCATAGGGTTTAGGGTTTAGGGTTGAAGGGTATAGAGGTTTGTCGTTTAGGGTTTCGGGTTTAGGAGTTCAGGGGTTCAGGGGTTTAAGGGTTTAGGTGTTTAGGGATTCTTCTTCAGACGAAGACTCCGACGAGCCATGATAGCCTGGCCACCAAGCATCCTGCCCGCGGCTCCTCTTTGAGACAGGAGGCCCTAAACCCTAAAAGCCCGAGGCCCTACACCCTAAACCCTAAATCCCAAACCCCAGGCCCTAAACCCTTAGTCCTAAACCCTCGGCGTGAAACCGCAAATTTTCAGCCCCTAGTCTGAGACCTTTGTCTTTCAGGGTTCAGGGAGGCAGAAGTTTAGAACCCTGAACCCAATCCCTCAACCCCAAACAGTTTGGGTCGGGGTGCGTGTGCTTCAGGATGGAAGTGTCGAGCGAAGGGCTTAGGATGTAAGGTTGAAAGGCGCTGGCTGCAGGGCTTGGGGTTTAGGGTTTCAATGGCTTAGGGTTTAGGGTTTAGGGTTTAGGGGCAATGTGTCAGAACAAGTGACACTCTCTGGGGACTAACTCGGACGTGCATTGTAAATTGACAGCCTCTTCCCAGGCAACATCTAGCCCTTGCAGACGGTAGGTAACAGGTATCAAAGCCGAAACCCTAAACCGCACATGAGAAGAGCTATTCTCATCACGAACCGCACAAGGTCTTCCCACCCCCTTTTCGTACAAATTCGTAATATGGCACTGAAATGCTCCAAACACAGCTAAAATGATGTTCCCCGCGCCCATGTCCCTAACTCTAGACTCCTCCATGCCCCTGCACAGTGAGCGGGCGTCAACGAAGGCAAGCATCCCTCCCCTGTCAGGCTTCTGCGATGCTCGTCGAAGGAAACGATTACGTCATGGAAATGACAGTAATTGTCGTCGTCGTCGTAGTAGTCCTGAAGACCAAAAGCACGTGCTTCTCTCTGCAGACCCTGCAAGGCGGAAGACAGGCTCTGCACTGGCCTGGTCTCGGCTCTAAACCGCTGCACCATGCTATCTTTGATGACATCCCGCACCTCTTTCCAGATGTGCATTGAAGGGTGGTTGGCAAAGTTTGGGACGCATTGGATGGCGTAGTAGCTTGGGACGCATTCAATGGCGTAGTGGAGTGCAGAGCGCCCGCCCGAGTTTTGGTAGCACAGCTCCTCAAGAGTAAGGCGCTCGGCTACGGCGATGCAAAGTCTACCCTGGGCTTCATCTTTGTCTGCGAAGTGTTGACTGTGTTGACGAAAAGTCGGCTCCAAGATGTACTGGAGGAGGCTGTCGTGGAAAGGCGGGATGCTGCCAGCCCAGCACCATCGAGGCAGGCCCTTTTTCAGAAGCTCACAGAAGCAGCCGGCTGACCCCCAACCGCCGAGTTTTCCCGTCCCGCGTTGGGGCTTTTTCTTCCGCACGCTTTCCTGGTTGCATCTTGCTCAGAAAACCCTGATAGAACATTTCGTGAAAGGTCATCTCATACTACAGAAAGCAGAGGCAACGGAAAGTTATTTCAGAATCGACCAAGATTCCCACAGAAGTTTTTGAGTTTCTCGGTTTGGCGTCGCGAAGCAGCGTTGCACCGTCTCCGGTTCCACGAGCGCAACCACATGCTCTGCGACTTCACGAAACTTGTCTAGCCAGCAAAGAGCACCACGAAGTCTGCTTTCCTCCAGGTGACGGCCGAAAGCAAACATGTCCGTCAGCATGCTCGGAGTTTCTGCGAAAACACGTGCGATTGGCCGGCTGAGTAGCGCGTCGGCCCAAGCGTCCCTCAGCACCAGTGAGGAATCCAAATCCCCTCTGCGAATAAATATCTGGCGTTCCAACCTTGCCACAGGCTCTGCAAGCAGCGTCCAGGGCTGGTGCCGTTCGTCGGCATTTGGCCACACACCCTCCGGAATCACCTTGCCACCTAGAGCCTTTCGAATCTCTGGCAACGCCATCCAGGATGTCAAGATGTACTGCAGCTCACAACCTGACTGTCTTTCAGCACAACATGCTCTTGGCACCTACGTAGAGCACCCGTAATTGTAAAGAGCACCCACCAAAAACCCTGTTCAAGCCCTATGCACTTTGCACACCGTCGCTGGGAGCCCCTGAAAGCCCCACCATCGACCGGTGACCCCGAAACCTCTTGACCTGAAACCCATGAGCCCTATATACTATAGGTGTCGACTTCAACGGTCAACAAAATTTAAGGCTCTCTATTGAACGATAAGGGAAACCAACAGTTATCCCAAACCGATACCTGATATAAGACCCCAACCTCAAAAGCATCCAAAGCGCTTCAACAGCCTCGACCCCAAAAGTTGAAGCCCAATCCGTAGACTCTGCCCCGAAGTCGTACTGACAGAACCCCTGCAACAATCCTCGTACCCTTACAACACCCCGGGAAACAAGGTTTACTTAGACTTGTCCCGCATCCTGGGAAGAACTGGGGATTGGCCTTTGGGAGTTTGAAGGGGGTTGTACTGCCCCAGGGAGCTTAAAGGTTGCCTACTCTACTACTAAGGCTAATGAAACCCTACAAAGAAAGCGAGACTAAGCGAGCCCGAGCCTTACAGAACCGGCTTATATATAACGCACTGAAAAGCCAAAATGAAACCCTAAACCCTGAAAAACCTGAACTTCAAACCCTCAAACCCCCTCCAAAGAAAACGAACCCGAGCTGCCGTTCGCAAGATCCGCCATGGGCAACGGCTCGTCATCCCGCAAGTCTCCGTCTGGGCCAACGAGACGGACCAGTCTGGCGCCTGGGACATTATGTAGTAAAGGATATGGTATAGGCTATATACGATGTGCTATGTGGTATAAGGATACTAAGTCATATGCTAGTTATACAACATGTGCGTTGAATGGACAATAGCATTCGTCGGAGTCTAGGGATTTCGGGACTTAGGGTTTGGGGAGTCTTGTGTCGCTTAAGGAAGGCACTAGTTACTAGTTGGCTTTATGATAGTGGAAACGGTAGCGCTTGCTCTTGGAGTCGAGCAGAAGGTATGGGCTCCGGCTGTGGCAGTCCAAGGGACAAGGGCTGCTGGGGTCAGCCGCTGCCAGGCGTACCTTGAGGTCCCTCACCGTCCGCAGATCCGCGAGCTCACTGTCTGATAGCTTCAGCTCCAGCAGTTCACCATTTAGGCGCATCGCGCGAATCGTCATCACGGAGTTGGGCTCCGAGAAGCTTGCCATGATGCGCGCGCCGAACTTCTTCCACTTATCGCGCTCTTGCACATTCGAAGAGAAATGGCAACAGCACTTGAGCAAGAGTGGTGGTAGGCAGCAGAACCTGTCAGCAGCAAGAAAACAGTAAGGGCAGATTGAGAGTACAAAGCAGTATCCTAAGCTAGCGAGGCAGCAGAGACATCACATATAATCGGATCGCAGTTTTGGAGCTGACCGCGCTCGCGATTGCCGGCCATGAAATCGCCTCATCTTCTCGACACCTAATTAGTTGCTTTGTGAAACGATGGCGGGCTTCCTTCCCGAGCTCTTGGACAAGGGGCGGCGGGGACTTGCAACAGAAGACTCCACAGAAGAAGAGCTCAGGGGAAGAATGGATGTCGCCAATGCTCGCAGCTCCGGCGAGCTGCGAAGAAATGCTGCTTCGCAAACTTTGCATTGTCAACTCTTACCGTTTCGTTGGCACCAGTATTGCTACCATTGCTGCTTGTGCTGCTGCTCTGGCAAAGTTTGCTGGGCAGCGCATGCATGTTGGGGAATCCCTTCCTGCAGCCAGGACGTTCCTGGATGCAGCACTGAAAAGCAAGGCTGGGCTTAAGGGCTCCAACTGCCCATGCCAGACTAGCGGCCATAGCCGCCGCGTCGCTCACGGGATTGCCATGCTTCCTGCTGCCAGGCAGGACCGCGGCCTCCTTCCCAACCAGATCGATGGTCATGCCAGTCCCAGCCGTTGGACCACCAGCCAGAGCTGTCCTTCGTGCGGTGAACTTTCAGGATTTTTGGGGCAACACATCAAAAGGGAGGCGACACACAGATGATGCCGCGACGGCCCATGGTCTGTCCAGAAAGTCCACTCAACATCGTTGCCCTCCTCTGATCTTCATGGTCGCCATAACCACCATCAGACCCCTAATCATCATCCTGTAGCAACATCAAAACCACTGCACTAGTTTTCACCATCATCATGTGGCTCCTCTCAATCCTCATCTTCATCCTCCTCGGCCTCTTCATCCTCGACGTCCCCACCACATTCATCAAGCCACAAACCTGAACTTTGTTTTCGAGCTGCAGCACCACTCACGATTCTGAGATCATTCACCGTTCCCTACAACCCAGGCACCAGCCTTTCGTCATTAACACACCGTGCCAGAGCCATGATTAAGGCCTTAAGCTGAGGCTGTTTACATGGTTGAGAACTGGGAGGATATCCCAAGAGCAAAGCTCCCAAAACCAGTCTACCCTAAGACCCCCAAATACTTCCTGTTTGGGGTTCATATTTAGAATCCTTTCAGGTAATCCCAAAAAGGAACTACTTTGGGGCCTATGGGTATGTCGGACTTGATTACGAGAACCGCTCCCTGAGCAGCCCGAACCTCCCCAGTCGAAGCTTTTTCGGAGTCAGACTCCAAAACAAAAGCCCTCACCAAAGGGTCCTATGCACTGCTATGGGGTAGACTTCCCTAAATCAGGATGGTAATTCCTAATATAGAAACCCTACGTCCTGCTATATAGGTACGTAGGACCCTTTGGACTCAACCCTCCGTCTCAAACCTTCATCTCCAACACCCGAAACCTAACACCTGAAAACTAAACGCTGACCGTCCAAAACCACGAAACCTTTATAGAACCTTTATCGAACCTGAATAAGAAGCCTTCCTACGCCCTATAGGCCTACACCCTAAGCCCTAAACCCAAACCTACGCCCTAAGCGTCCCTAAGCCCTAAATCCTAAACCCTTAGCCCTAAACCCTAATTATCAGGCCCAGGTCTCCGACCAGTCTTGCCAGCCTTCCCACCAAGCATGCTGCCCGTGGCTCCTCTCTTGAGGGCAACGCCAAAACCCTAACGCCCTTTTGAATTGGAGTTGTAGGGGGTTGAAGTTTTAAGTCTCGGCTTTACGGCTCAGAGGCTGCAAGCTGCGGGGGGGTGGGGGGGGGGGTGGGTAAAAGTCAAAACATCGACGCTCTCTCGCGAGGTGTCCGGGCTTTCGTCACCGAGTTCACTATAACTATAATCTACCAGTTTAACTGTCCTTACATCCGGTAGATGTCATGTATCAATGCCGACATGTACATGTAGAGTGTTGCAACATTTCAGAAGTCGTAAAGTGAATAGAACTACCATGAACAAGTTACAGAAATTACAACGAACTAAAAAGCATCTATAGTCCAAACCCAGCTACAGTAATCAATGTTCTCAGTGCTTCCGTCCCCAACTCTAAACTCCTCCAGGTCCCTGCAGCTTCGGCGGGCGCATGGCCATCCGCTGTCAGGCTTCTGAGGTGCTCATCCCACGAGGCGATGACGTCTTCATAATCTTCGTCGGCGTCGCCAGAACCGTGAGCATGTGCTTCTCTCTGCAGAGTGTGCAACATGGAGGTCAGGTCCTGTACTGGCCTTGTCTCGGTTCTAAACCGGTGCACCATGTTATCTTTGATGGCATCCCGCACCACTTTCCAGATATGCGCTTCCCCAGGAATAAATGGGTTGCTGCCGGCGTAGTTGAGTGCAGAGCGCCCGTCCGAGTTTTGGTAGCACAGCTCCTCGAGAGTAAGGCGCTCGGCTACGGCGATGCAAAGTCTACCCTGGGCTGAATCCTTGTCTTCACGGTGCCGAGGGTGTTCCGAACAATTGGGTTCCAGGATATACTGGAGGAGGTTGTCCTCGAAAGGCGGGATGCTGCCAGCCCAGCACCATCGAGGAAGGCCCTTTTTCAGAAGCTCGCAGAAGCAGTCGGCGGCTTTGCAGCCGCCAGCGCTTCCCCTTCCGCGGTAGGGCTCCTTCTTCCGCACGCTTTCCTGGTTGCATCTTACTCAGAAAATATCAGAAAACACTGATAGAGCATTGCGTGAAAGGCCATCTCATGCTACAACAAGTTGACAAAAAGCAGAGGCAGCGACAAGTCAACGTCTAAAAATACACCAAGACTCCCACAGAAGTTTCTGAGTTTCTGGGTTTGGCGTCGCAAAGCAGCGTTGCACAGTCTCCGGTTCCACGAGCGCAACAACCTGCTTTGCGACTTCATGAAACGTCCCAAGAACAAACTCGGAATCGTCGAGGAGTAGGCCGAAAGCAAACATGTCCGTCAGCATGCTCGGAGTCTCTGCAAAAACACGTGCGATGGGTCGGCTGAGTAGAGCATCGGCCCATGCAAAGTCAAAGACCCGCGAACCATTTTCTGCTGCCATGGCTATCTGGTTTGCCAGGTCTGCTACGGGCTCTGCCAGAAGTGTCCAGGGCTGGTGCCGCTCGTCGGCATTTGGCCACACACCTTCCGGAACCACCAGGTCGCCAAGAACTTCTTGAATCTCTGGCAACGACATCCAGGATGTCAAAATGTACTGCAGCTCACAACCTGGCTGTCTTTCAGCACAAGAAATGCTCTTGGCAAACCCACTCTAGATGCCAAAGGTAAACCCTACATCCCACCCTCTCATGGCCTGCTGAAAGCTTCCCCCACGCCTCGAGACTCCCAAAGCACCAAAGCATAAAACCCTGAGAGGTATGAAACCCGAACCCCAAGCCCTTTAAATAGCCTATACTCGAAAACCCAAAGCCCAAAACCTTAAAGCGTTAAACTTTATCGCAGCCCGGGCTGCCTTCTGCAAGGTCCGCCATGGAAAGCAGCTCGTCATCCTGCAGGTCTCCATTTGGGCCGACGAGACGGACCAGTCTGACGCCTGTGCTTCGGAGGTTTGGGATTCAACGCTTAGTGCGAGCTGCAGAAATTATGAAGGCAGGGATTATCTGTATGTATGCGTGGATGTATGCAAGTATAAATATTTATGTTTTTTCTTGGCTTAGCGTAGGATTCTTGAGGAGTGGCTAGAGGACACCAGCTGCAGCAAGGCAGTCAAGGGGCACGGGCTGCTGGGGTCAGCCGCAGCTAGACGTTTCTTCAGGTCTCTCACCGTCCGCAGATCCGCGAGATCGCTGTCTGATAGCTTCAGCTCCAGCATCTCACCATTTAGGCGCATCGCGCGAATCGTCATCACGGAGTTGGGCTCCGAGCAGCTTGCCATGATGCTGGCCTACTTTCTTTCACTCTCACTCTTGCACCTTCGGAGAGAATTCGCAGCAGCACTTCTTGGCTTGAGTCAGGAAACGCGAAGACAAGCTGCAACTGACATCGATACAATGGCTTGCCACCGGCATGATGTGCTGCCAGGGCTGTGGAATTTGAGGCCTGCAAGACAGAAGTACCAGTGAGCCTGAACTGAACTGCTCCCCGCGTGCCTCCGGAATCTCGGAGATCTCTGACAGTCCTGGAAGGCACAAGGATGTCCCCAAGGTTTCTCTAAGGATTCCATAAGTGGTTGCTAGCTAGAAGGGTTGGCTTCAGGTTTGGGGGTTAGGGTTTTAATGTGGTAGTGCGTGATGTACGTAATTAGAACGGGGACAGGGTTTTGGGGGATGTTGCAGTCTAGTTCTCACAGCGAACCGGGGTTGAAGGTGTGACATAGGAACTTGAATGGGGTAGGTTCTACAACTACCGTGTACAGGGACCGGAAGGGTTTAGGGCTTGGTGCTTCGGGTTACTATTTCTGAACCCACACCCTGAACGTTCTTTCGGTCCCAAGTCTTCCGGGCACAGGCAGCCTGGAGTGTGTTATTTAGGGGTTTAGGGTCGCAGGATTTGGGATTTGGGTGGATAGGGTTTACTGTTCAGGTTCAGCGGCCCGAAAGACTCAAGGACCAGTTGGCAGCGAGCAGTGGCACGCAAGCTGGACATCATTGAACCCCCCTAGTAGATTCCTTAGGGAACATTACGGAACCCTTATGGGAGCCCTGGCGGATGTCTTGAAGGAGCCCACTTCAACCCGCATGGAACTCCGAATAGATCCCTTAAATTCTAGCCAAGGGCTCCTGAGGACAGAGACTCGAAATCCGTGTCGAAGTCGCTGTCACTCTCCTTCTCCTTGGCTTTCGCTTGAAGTTGCTGCACAAGCAGGGTTTAGGGAAAATTCAGAGTTTAGGGAAGTGCCATTCTTCCTGTGCACAATAGAGGCCCCGTAGGATCCTTCTTCTGGAAACTGTGCACCTGATTAGATGACGGAACTATCTTTCTGAATGAGCAGCCTGAGCGTCCTCATGTTGTAGTCGTCACCATGTGGTTTATTGTCACAACATCTTCCTCTGTCTTGTTCCGCTCCTTGTAGAGCTGCCATGAACCCGAGTACTCGTCCTCCCGTGCTCGCGACCATCACCACGACCTTCGGCATCCTGGCCAACATCATCATCATCATCACCATCATCGCCACCACCACTATCTTCATATGGGTCGTCCCTGCTTAAGACCTCAACCCCATGAACCACTTACTAACACCACGACTAAACACAACAACACCAGGCAACCATGCAAAGGTCGTTGAAAGTACAGGAAGCCAAAGACTGTGGACCCAGAAAAATGCAGGGGCATTAATCGATCGACTACAGCTCGTTCTCGAGCCTCAATCCAATATCCGAAACTCTAAACCCTACCCTTCAACCCCAGGCCATGATCCGATATGGAGCCATAAACACCCGAGCAGATGTCACTCCGACACCCCTAGCATAAAAGAACAACTACCCATGTTCTTGCTCAGGGCTCCTCATTAGACCTTTACTGCAAGATGCCTCCCAGCATTGTTCTAACTGCTAGCTCTTAACAATTACCCAAACCCCCAACAGTAGGAAAAATAATGGCCCAATGACTATAAAGGGCTACTATTCTGCATGCTTCTGGGGTCCAGCCTAAACTTGCATAGAGATTTCCGATATAATTCCCCTTATGAAACTAAGGCCCCCGGATTCAGTTCAAGCCGAAGCTCGTCGTCGGCCTCTGGCCGTCCAGTGGGCCGGTCTCCTTTATCCTCTCACTCCAAGGATAGGGTTTGGGGTTTTGGGTGGTTTTGGCTTCAGGGTTCCGGGTTTGGGTTCAGGGTTTAGGGTTCAGTGTTTAGGTTTTAGGGTTTTGTGTTGTCGATTGCTTGGAAGACCTTGGGGGACCGGTGGGAGTGTCGCTCACAGACATTCCAGGGTCTTTGCGGGACGCCTCGGCACCCCCAACCGTGGCCATCAACAACCCGTGCTTCACAGCAGCGACAGGGAGACCGTTCAGAAGACAACAACCGCTGGTGCACGCATGTCCAGATAGACACATACTTAGATTCAGACACATCTACATGCCCACCTACCTACATACCTACCTACATGCCTTCGCGCGTACTTGCGCTGCGTTATATATGCTGTAATTAAACTGCAGGCTATGTACTTTGTAGGGTATTACTACACTATTATATACTACATACTGTATGCTATACACGGTCTACTCTACGTCGACGATAGGCTACATGTACTGTATACAAATTCTATGCTGTACAGTGCACTAGAGAAAATGCGTCTACTATCGACTATGTACTGTAAACCATGTACTACTTGCATATGTGCATCTATGCTATACACTTTGACTTTTCAACATACGGCGTGCAATATATGAAACAAATGCAGTATACTATACACATTACACCGCGTACAGAAAACTATATACTGCACGTTTTGCACCGTAGCCTGTATACCATATACGCCATGGTCTATGCTCTACATATTATACCAGATACTCTATACAAGATACTGACTAGCTTCAGACCCCATAGCACTATGCACGATAAACGATGTACTGTATACGCTCTGCCCTAGACTATATACGTATGCAGTGTGTGAGTTTCAACGTATACATAGAGATATAAGAGGGAGCAGTGGGGTAGCACATGGAAAAACAGTCATCTGCGAAATTAAAATCACAATCATCATAGCAATAACAACCGAAACCGTACTGAGAAACGAAGAAATTAGATTAACCGAAGCAATAACATTGACCGAAATAGTAATTATAGCTTGTCGCAGTAATTCTCAAATTGGGATCTTGTTAACAGATACCTTGGATCTGTAGTAAATCACAGGGTTTCCTTACTATGGCAACTTAGATAAAAGTCCTTAACCACAGACCCCTAAAGAACCCTAACTAGAACCCTTGTAGGAACCCTGAATTACATCTAAACTCCTTGACAAGAACCCTGAAACCGTAAACCGCACTTGAGAACTCGAAGCCTCGCTATCCTCGGCCAGCTTTGCGAGCGCAGCAGCCTCCCCCAAGTCACGGAAGAGATTGCTGTAAGGGCTTACAGTAAACCACGTAAAGTTGGAAACCGGATTAAGGCCAAACAGCGCTGGGATTCCCTTTCCACTACTTTTAAGGATTGAGGCTATCGGGTTTCCAACTTTTGGGCTTCTACTGTAAGTTGTAAGGGCTCCTGTAAGGGACTATGAGTCTATAAGAGTTTCCGTAAGGGGACTACAAGGGTTTAGGGTTTCGGGTCGGCGGAAGGTTTACGTCACAGGGGTCGGAGGGCTTGAGGTGTAGGGTTTACAGGCTTTAGACTATGGGTGGTTCTTCCCGATAAACCCTGCTGATGCATGATTACAATCTGCTACCGGGGTGAAAAATCTTCAAAAGGATTAGAGGCTAGAGGTTCATAGAGGTTCAAGGGTTTTAAGGGCTTGGGATTTACGGTTTGGGGGTTCGTTGGGGCTGGTTTCTGACCGATGAATCCCCATCATACCACACACCCTAGACCCCAGGGGTGCAATTGTTTTACTGGTCGCTAAGCCTATCGTGTGGGGCTTAACTAATTTTGTATCCCTAGATATTCGCTTCTTCTGCTAAACCCTCCTCCAACTCAAAACCACAAACTGTATAGCTGAATCGACCCCTATGTTGAACCGTTAATACGACAACAGGCCTAAGCCCTAAAGCACGCAAGACGTTCAGCCTCACAGTCCTGAACGGCACTCAGGCTTTAATTATAGGTTGCAAAGACCCTGTGCACAAAATAAACCGAGCAGCCATAACGACGACTCTATAACGACACAGACAATCCTCAAAACAATGTTGCTCTAAATCCCGCCGAAAGACAGCAACAGAACCTGAAAACCCACGAAGCCTTCACTACTGAATCCTAAACCCTCAACCGTAAATTCTGATCGCTGAGCTATTGAACCCCACAGCCCCAAGACATGTGAGCCCTGAACCCTAAGTTTTCGAAACCGGTCCGGATAGTACTACTAACAAAACAAAGTAAAGAAACAAATGAAAGCCTTAAACGGGGCCTCCCCAGCTGCCTCTGAAGCCATTGCTCGCAGGCACTGCGAAACTCTCGGCCGTGGTTGCGTTAGCTTCGTGTTCCTTGTGCGGTTCAGGGTCGAGTTGGCTATATTATGGCGTGACCTAATTGTCTTTTGTAGACTTCAGGGTCGTGGTGGTATGGATTGCCGAGGTGTCACAGTTGCAACTATTGTACTATTGGTTTTCGGTTATAGATACTGAGTTTTTGCAGTGTGCTGTAGTCTTATTAGGCGGCCTGTGAGGAGGCTTACTGTCATACTGTCATTGTCTAGGGTTGAGGTTTCAGAGCTTAGGGTGTGTCGAGTTGAGTCTGCAGGGCCTCGGATATTTTGGATTGCAAGTTGGATGCATCTGCGCATGTTAGTTACGGCTGAAAGGCATCGCTACCTCTGACGTCGGTGGAAAGCTTCGGGGAGGCAGGACTTGAGCAAACCCATCTCGCCTGAACCCTGCAATCACGAAGGGCATCGTGTGGCCCATTTTGTTTCACTGCTTTCCAAGTTCTTCACCACCTGATCTGTTTGCACTGGCTTGTCATTTTCGCTTTTTGTTCACCATTGGCTCACTTTTTGTTCACTGTTGGTTGAAACACTGCTCTTCACTATCTGTTAGCAGTTTTGACTTTTTCATCCTTCGTTCATTGTTCACTAACTGTACTCACGACTTTCATTATTTTCTCTACTAGTAATTACTTAAAGACCCTTTCATGTGAGGAGGGAGAGGAGCGGGTCTGGTCTGATAAAAACTGTTCGAACAGGACATGTAAGGAGAATGCACTGCCAGTTCTTGCCAATTGGAGAGTGTCTTCATTACCTTGCTAACTGCATGCGCTGTACTCGAAGGTGTTACAAAACCCGGGCTGCAGCAAGAGATCTGCTGTGGAACAGGGCACACAGCATCCTTTTCGACGCAGCTCACGTCGATGTGAAACGTCCCTTCTTGCTTCCACTCACACTGCCTATTGTGTCGGGCAGTAGCATCCACCGCGAAATCGATCGTTGCAGCACGGACCCGTTAGACCTGTCCCTGATGCCCAGCATGCACTCGCAGTACTCGTGGTCAAGCCTGATGAAGCTCTCACCGTCCGGCCTGATTGAAAGCAAACCAGTTTGCTGCTGTCTATTACTTGGAGGTTCATGGGTAGTTGTAAGTGGGGTTATACATAGGGTAACTACAGTCGGAACTCCTATCAGGGAGCTTATATACCCACTTATAGCTACACATGAACCTCCAAGTATCCCAGACATGACATGCAGACTTCGTATGCAGTACAGTCTGTGCACAAGCTTTGGTGTTACCGGCAAAGACACATGCTATTCAGCTGTTCTTGTTGTCCACCATGTAATTTCTGCGGCATTATGGGTATAACTTCTGGCAATTGATGATCAATGGCTTACAACGCTGGAATGTGCTGGTAATGCTGTAATGCACTGCAGCTTCTAGCTTGGTATGGCTGCAACACTATCTACACTGTATTATCTTAAACTAGCTTCTTCCAGTATATTGCTGCAGCATTGGCATGACATGGTTCCGTCCTGCTGTGCTGCTATGCCATGCTGTCCTACTGCACTGAACTTCTAGCATGAGTTCTTCTGTTCTAGCTGGTACTACTTCCACAGCGACGACGACGACCACTACTACTACTTCGCACACTACCACTGGTTACCGCGAGTTACCACGGCTGACCACGGCTACGGAACAATAAACACGACTATACACACATGAGTGTTACCATGCCCACCGAAAGCGAATCCGGGCAAGCATACAAATCGGACCTCTCGATACGGGCTCTTAGGATTTAAAATTCCTGTTCAGGGAAGGGCGTGCCCTACACTCTAGGCTTTACACATGAGGTCCTTGCTTCGTTCGTCTTTCAGGGCTTAGGAGAACTCCTAAACCTCTAAACAGGCCTTCTTCGTCTTAATCCCTGAAACCCTCAAAAAGTAAGCTGTTTGGCGAAAATGCAAACCCCCCCTATACCCCCTAACCCCATCACCCTAAAACCCTAAACCCCCCAAAACACCCCCCTGACACCCCGTTAAACCCCCTAACCCCATCCGGCCTTCTTCTTCTTGGACTGCTTCAACTTCTTCTTCGTCGCCTTCGACTTGCCGGGCCTGGCGGGGGTTTAGGGTTCAGGGTTTTGGGGGTTTAAGGGCTTTAAGGTTTTTTGTTTGAAGGGGTTTAAAGTTGTTTAATTCGGGGGGGGGGGGGGGGTTAAAGGTTTTTTTAGGTGTTTAAGGGTTTAGGGGCTTAAGGGTTTAGGGTTCAGGGTTTCGAGTTTAGGGTTCAGGGTTCAGGGTGTGGGGCTGGGCTTTCCTTTTGAAGGCTTCCTTTGAGGGCGCCTGTAAGGATTCCGTTATAAGGGCTTGCAAGGATTCCGTTTAGGGGTTGCTGAATTAAAGGATTCCTTAAAGGGTTCCTTTAAAGCTTCCTTTCAGGATTCTTTTAAAATTTAAGGGTTCCTTTCAGGGAGCTAGGGTTTTGGGCCTTCCTTTAAAGGCTTCTGGTCAGGATTCCTCAGTAAAGGTTCCTTTTAAGGTTTCTTTCGCGGTTGCAGGGTGTAGGGTTTATGCCTTTAGGTTTCGGGATTAGTGTAGGGCTTTGGGGTTTGGGTTTTGGGGGTTAGACGGTTTAGGGTGTAAGAAGTTGTAAAGGGTTTGGGGTTTAGGATTCCGTGTGTGAGGGCTTGGAGCCTAGGGTTTGGGAATTTGCACTTGAGGGAAGGCGTTCCGGGGAAAAGGCCTGACTGCCAAGTGTCTGGGGCCGAGGGGTTCCAAAGCAAAGGTGAACGACCAAAAGCCCCAAAACCCTTTCCTGAAACCCCTATAGATCCCTTAAAGGAACCCTTAGAGGACCCCTTACAGTACCCTGAGGGTCCATGTATCCAAAACACTAGGCCCCAAACCCTACCTTGTCTGACAACCTACATTGTCAGCACTCCCTTTTTAAATACGGTCTCCTAGCACAGTATATGTCCTGAGAGTTAAGGCCTTGCCCCAAACAGGACTTCCAGAGGCCCTCTGAGCCCCAAGCCTCTACCCACACCCTTCCGAAGCCTGTAAGTTCAGGGCCTTGGGGCCTCGGCTACTGTAATCGGCAAAAACCCATTAACGTCGTTCATAACTAATTACTAACTATAGGGGCCTCAATACTTAGAATAGGGTTTGGGCTTGGGGCCCATTACACCATACTTTATCATCGAATAAGTATATGCAAACCTATCAAAAAAGGGCAGCGGCCTGAGCCCAGATGTCTTTGCATTCGCCAGCCACTCCTTCCTCTTCTTCGCCTGCGTCATCGCGGCCGCAGCAGCAGGAGGAGGAGTAGTAGTAGCACCAGTAGCAGCAGCAGTGGTAGTGGTAGGGCAGTGGTAACGGTAGCGATAGTGGTAGTGGTGGTGGTAGCGGTAGTGGTAGTGGTAATGGGTGGTAGGGGAGGAGGGAGCAGGAGGTGCAGAAACAGCTCAAGGAATAAGGTCAAGAACAGGGACACAAAAGTCTCGTTCAACTCCTACTATCTTGAACCGGATTGTCACAGAAACCATCCGGCGGCCTTCTGACGTTCTCTCCGCTGCTGCTTCCTCAGCAACTTACCGGATTTGTTATGCACCAGCTTCTCTGTATGTCAAGGCATGCTTTCCTCGTAAGTTCTGCGCAATCCCAAACCTGGGAGCCCGAAAAACAAGTCCTAATTAAACTTGATAGGCAGAGACCATACAGGGTTTAAAGTCTTGGGTGCAGGGACTAGTGTCTCGGGCGCAGGGCCTAATCCGTAAACCCTAAAAGCCCCAAGCTTTCAACCTGAGGATCTCAAGCGTCGAGGCCGAAACCCTCAAACCTTGCTTTAGCCTTGTGGAACCTTTTAACGCAACCTTTGTAGAACCTTCACGGGAAGTGTTGAAGAACCCGCATAGCACCCCCTTGGAAACTTCACGAAACCCGTGGGAGATCCTCAAAATCCTCTCTTCCACTTCCACGCAGACAAGCTGCAAGAGGATCCGCTTTGCCGCCGGGTGGTCCTCGGGGCGGCTCCTCAGCGTGGGTCTCAGACTCGAGTGCCACATTGCAAAACCTGAAATACTCAGCCCTCTTACCGAACCCTTCTAATTAGACCCCATTAAAGGAACCCTTCTAGCCCCCTTTAAAGGAACCTTAAAGGAACCCTTCTACTGCCCTTTGAAGGAACCTTTATAGACCCCTTAAAGGAACCCTTCTAGTTCCCTTCAAAGGAACCTTAAAGGAACCTTTTTACTTCCCTGTACGGGAACCGGTAACCTTCCGGACCCTCGGCCCGAAAACGACAGCTGTGGGCAGCGCTGCTCTTTGCCGGGCTTGTCTTGGGCATTGGAATCCTCCACCTACGGGACGCTTGGTTGGGTAGTTGTCAAAATTAAGGTTCCTTTGTTGGGGTACCCTAAATCATAGGTTCCGTATTATAACCACCTCCACCGTTTAAGGGGTTTGGGTCCAGGGCGAACGGGGGGGGTTAGCGTTTTACGCAAAGGGTTTAGGGTTCAAGGGTTGGGGTTGGGGTGTGGGTTTGCGGCTTCTGGGCACTGGAATCCTCCAATTGTGGGACGCTTGGTGAGGGTTTGGGGTTGGGGCTTGAGGGCACGGCGGCCGTAAGAGCTGTATGTCTTTTTGGAAGGGGGGGGGGGGGCTGGGCGTCTTAAGGGGTTGGGTTTGGGGAGGGGGGGTTTCTCTGTAGGGTTTTGAGGAATTGTAGGGTTTAAGGTTGACTTCTTTGATGAGTTTTGAGGCGGACGGAGCTTTGGGGGTCCTGTTGCGGCTTGCTGAAACCACCCCTAAACGCAAAAACGCAAAAAACATACACCTTTAGCTGGCATCCCGAGTCTAGAGGTTGAAGGAGTCTGAGGCTTTCGGGGCTGTGTGTTGGGAGCTTGGGGGAGTTGAAGTTTTTGGCTTCTGGCTTGTGTAATGGGTTGGGTAGCTCCCTGAACTAGGACCCCGTTTTAGTTTTAGGACTCAAAAATAGTACGGTACCCTTATCAAAGGACCCAAAAAGGGACCCTAATTTAGAGAACTACCCACGCAAAGTAGTACGGCACTCTTATCAAAGGACCCAAAAAGGCAAAAAGGTACCCTAATTTAGAGAACTACCCAAACATCGGAGCTGACGGTTCTTGAGGCTTGCAACCGGAGGCCGGCTCTGGCCCGTCGTTACCCGTTAATTAAAGAGGATTTGGCCAATCGCTGGGACAACCTAAACACACCTAAACCCTAAACCCCTAAACCCTAAACATACCTAAACCATAATTACACCCAAATACCCCGATCAAATCCTTACAAGCCCCTGCGCAACCCTGCACTACCCTATGAAATCTCATTGTAAGGACATAGAAAAGCATGACAACCCCGATTGCTGCGGTCTGCCTTCGTGATTCGGATCTCCTTGCCGTGGATCTTGGCACCCCAGAGTTTCAGAGCTTCCTGGTAGCGGGAAGCTGTAATTTAATGAAGACTTGGGTTTAGGGCCTAGGGGGTTTAGGGTTTAGGGCCTATAAGGGTTTAGATTCGTTTAGATGTAGCGAAGGTAGAGACAAGTTTTTTATATGTGGCCTATCAGCTTTTGCAGCTCTGCGGCTTCAAACTTTGCGGCTTTTAGGGTCTTAGGGCTGGAGGTGGGTCCCGGGGGTTCGCGGTGTGTGCCTTCATCCATCGTTGCGAGTATCTTGAAGATCGTCGAATCGTAGTCATTCGTCAGCATCGCGGGTGCTGTTGTTCGAAGTCATCTCGTTTGCCCTCTGGGGCAAATAATGGTGTTGCTGTGGCTCTTCGGGCATGTTGGGGGTGTGATCAGTGCTCTGTACTTGCAAGACTCGCATGGTGCATCAGGATACCGGCGGCTTCAGAACCCCTGAACCCAGAACTCTCAAATCCCAGAAAACCCTCAAGCCCTAAACCTGACCTTCAAGCCAGAAGCTGTCAACCTCAATCTCTGTTCCCTAAGCTCCCTAAACCCGCAGAACTAACTGCCAGCCTCCAATCCCTTCAGCAGCCCAGATCGTAACAAATGCTTGACTTCGAAGACGGTGCGTATAAACCCTTTTCTTTTCGAAACAACCTAAGGTATTAGTCCAAGCAGTAGCATTTCTATTCGTCGACGGCCAAATGCCATGAACCTAAACAAACACCTCAGAACTCGCACACCCCAAAACCGTAAAGTACCAAACTCTCATTGTACTCTGCTCTTTTCGAAACACTTCAAGGAAGACTTGCATAAACCCAAAAGCCCGCAATCCCATACAATAACCATTCTGACTCCTACAACCATAAGATTATAGAACCCTTTCCGGAGCACCTTTAGGAGCCCTACTTCGAGGAGCCCCAAAACCATCATGGTAACTCATCCCTATAAACCCTTACACCGTTTTGGAACCCCTTCCTTCCTACCATGGTCAGATGGGGCGATACAGAGACCATACAAATGGAACTCCTTCAAACAACCCCAACCCTAGAGCCTAAACCCTGAAGCCTAAACACCCGAAACGCTCAAGGATAATCCAAAACTTGGTTAGTAGGGAATGGAAGAATGGTAGTAATAGTAGTTATAAATCTACCCCATTCCTCCATTCCCTACTAACCAAACGCACGAAAAGCCCCCAAAAACGTGCCGCCTTTGAATGCCTATAAACCCTACACCCTTGTGGGCAAAAAATAACCTCAAGGATACCCCAAAAGCCCGCCGCCTTGACGCTCCAGCGCTCCTGGAAGCGTGCGAAGGCGAAGCCCTGGCACTCCTCCGAGAGTTCGCGGGGAACACTAAGAACTAAACCCTACACCCCTTAAACCCTAAACACTAAACCAAACTGTAAACCCTATGTGCAAAAGGATATATAGGTTGAGGGTTTTGGCGGTTCAGGGCTACAGGGGGGTTTTATGGATTTCCGGATATCCGTTTTGGTGTGTCTTGTGGATCTACGGGGTGTTGTGGTGGTTCTTTTCGGCTGCTGCTAGGCTCAAAGCAACGATTCGAGGATTTCTGGCTAGACAATTCTGGGTTCATCGCGTCGTTGTTTAGGCGAAGGGTCTAGGCATCGGAGTTCAGGTAATTGGGGGTGAGGGCTCAGTGCTTCGGGCTCCATGATAAGATTCTGATCGCGAATGTGACTGATTGTAGGACCAAGACGTTTATGAAAAAGTGGTTGGACTCCGGGCTAATCATGTAAAACTGCTCTCAGCCCTGCTCATTGAACTTACTGCGCAGTCCCTTAATCCTGATGATGATGATGGTGGTGGTGGTGCTGCTGCTGCTGATAATGCGGATGATGACCATGACCCTGACCCTGCTCATGAGCATGCTCATGATCGGGATCGTGATGATGATGATGATGAGAATGATGGTGATGGTCACGGTAATGGCACTGGTGCTATTTCCGATTGCCGCGGCACTGTAGTGAAGATGTTTAAGGGATGATGACCAGGATGTTGGCAGCTGACTCGCCCAGCGTGGCTTTAGTTAGGAGTCCTGTTGCAGCAATCCTCGAAGGAATAGGCATGTTCAAAACCGTGAACCTGGAACAACCAAAAACGATCTCCGAAGAGACCCTGGCCCACAGAGAACCGCTTGGAGACACCACAGACTCCCAGCAAAGCCTGAGTGATCTTGTTCCTCACTATTCGGACCTGGCGTCGGGAATTGCGGGCTTTGGGGTCTATAGGCTTGCGTTTAGCTTTATGGGTGTAAGGTTTGAAGTACGAAGGTATTGGCTGCTCCTATTGTTTATGCTGCTACTTGTGCATGTTGCGTGCCAATGATTTTCAATGATACTATGAACTATGACATGCTGTATGTTGGTATCCTGGTTCACGGAGTAACGGAGTCGTAGCACAAAAGAACCGCTCTGTATGTTAAGGCATCAAGGGTTTTCAGGTCCTTCTGCACGGATCTACGTTAACGAAACTGAAGCAGTCAGTCTTGAAACTGTGATGCAAAACGTAGGAATGAGACGCTCCGCACTAAGAGGGCGACGAGTCCACAGTTTGCAGCCGGTAGAAAGGACCAAACTTAGGTACTGCCCCCTTACAGTAAGAGTCTATAACAGGGCTGCTATTAAGGTCCTAATATATCTATATTATGAATATTATTCAACTATTACTGAGTGGCAAGATCAAACTAAGGTCTGCAAAGGAAGCAACAACTGCAGTAAGGCCAAGAAGGCGCAGACGGTGGGGCCCTAAAGCTATGCTTGTCAGGTCAGCAGCATTTTACAAGGGATTGCAGATAGGGACTTCCGGTTGGGTGTTGGGTTGTGCGGATTGTGGGGGGCTTAGGCTTTGAGATCTCTGGGTTTAGGCTTGTTTTGGAGTCTTGTGATTCTTAAACCCTAAACCATAGACCCTAAACCCTAAACCCTAAACCCAAGGCCCTACACCCTCTGGGTGTTGGAGTTTTCGGCAAATCCTCAGCTCTAAACCATCAGTCGTAGTTGCAGAGCTTAGGGTCCCATGTTTGACGATGTCGTCCCCAGTCCCGAGATCGTTTCCCAGAGAGCCTAATACCCCTTATATAATTAGGGAATATGGCTTAAATTATATAGGGCTTCATATTATGATTTGAGGTATATTCCTTAATTAAGGGGTATTGGACTCTCTGGGTTCCCTTTCCCCTAACCGAGTTTAGGGTTTAGGGCCTAGAGCAAAACCGCTTTCCACAGTTGCACGGTACCAGGGGCCGGGCTGCGTCTACCACCCCGGCATCAGACAACACCCAGCGGATGTCGTCTTCCGTCACACCTCAGCTGGGAGTGTTCGAGGAGGCTTTCTTTTCCAATCTGGCGAACCCTAGAACCATGAAATTCTGACAGAATAACGAAACCCTACAAACGCCCAGAAACCTCTACATCACCTTATAGAACCTCATCAGACGTCGTAAAACACTATGATTAGAAATCTATGATGTAGGGATCGGAGTAATTCGTAATGATATCCCCTTACCGTCATCATAAAAACCCAAGTATCCAGACCCAGATATTATGGTCCATTACTCGGCTGGGACGCGTCGCGGCAGGCTCCCGAGGAAGACGCTGCGCTTCCTCGCAAATTCTGTTCGAGATGGTTAAGGTTTCGGGGACCCCCCAACTACCCTCTAACATACCCTAAATACCCACTATTAAGGACCATAAGGGCTTTATTACAGGGTACTTGGGGGGTCCTGGCAGGGTCTCGGGTTTAGGGGTTAGGCCATTCTGGTTTAGGGCTCCCGGGCCTAGGGCTTCGAGGGTGTAGGGGTTTAGAGCGCAGTGCCGTAGTGCCCACGTCTAGGTTCGCAGTGGCAGTCCGTGGCGGATGACACATAATGATGATTTAGGGTTTAGGGTTTAGGGTTTAGGGTTTATGAACTCAGGACTGTCAAATCCCTTGAATGCGGTTCACGGGGTGCAAACCAGAACCGGCTGCATCACCGTCACCATCTTCACCATGATCATCATCATCATCCTCATCCTCATCTCATCGCCATGGGCATCAGCAACAGTCACAATGACATCCTCGTTAACACTAGAATCAGATGGTACTGGAGAAGACCAAAGGAGAGGAATAACATCAACGGAAACTGCAATAGGAGTGATAGCAGGAAAGCTGTGGTCAACATCACTGAACCTACAGTTATCACCATCAAAAACGAAATCAGCACCAAGCGCTATGTCATCGCAACGATCACATCTGGGGAATGGGCTATGGGGACGATTATTGGGGATTACATAGGGACTACTATAGGTATCCATCCCCCCACTCCCTACTAAGCACCAGGGAGTCACATGCGGTCCTATCGAACTTCTTGAGCACGGCGGACTCTCCGACCTCGGTCAAAGTCGACACAGAAGCAGACTACGACGATACATGGGTCTACATTTCCATACGGATTCTGCGGCCTAAGCGGATTTCTTCAAGGTTCTGTTAAGGTTTCTGGGAAGGCTCTGTTGGCCATTGAGGGTTTGGGGGCTTCAGGTTCTAGGTTGAGGCTTTCTGCATGGAGGGGCGTTTGTTTGGTCACCCGACAAGTGAAGCGTTGCAATTGGGAGTTTCCGAAAATTAGGGCTACCACATTACGGGGCCCTTACAATACGGATCCTAGTATTTAGGATGCTATATTGGGCTCCCTATGTTCAGAAACTCCAAATAGAACCTCCCAACCACATAAGCTGAGTATCACCATTTCCAGTGACCTCTAGCCATACTCGCAGTCCAGCTACTGATGTGGTGTTTAGCAAGTTTGGTATGGCCACACGTGCTAGTATCACAATGGGAGTGGATCTCAACAGTCCCCAACACTTTGTATACTCATCTCCCAATACTATATGTATACTAAACCATAAGTTATATATTAAACCCATAAGGGGTCAAGACTTATCTCAACTCGGCACTTCGTGACAATTGCCCCTAAGAGAAACCTCGAGAAGTCCCAGAGCCTCTGGGCACGAGGCCCCATCCGCTCTGAGAACATGCTGAGCATCGGCCTATCCGCAAAACATCAAGGGGTTGAAAAGGGCTTCAGGGTTTAGGGTTTAGGGGTTTGAGGTTTGGGGTTTAGGGTTTAGGGGTTTAGGGGTTTGAGGTTTGGGGTTTAGGGTTTAGGGGTTTAGGGTTTAAGGTTGAGGGCCGCTGTTCAAGGCTGGCCCATGCTCTCCCCCTCATGGTCCGGGAAAGGCTTATAGGGTTTAGGGCTAGAAGTATTCAGCCCCTTTTTAAAATCATGCGGGCTTAAACCTGCTACCTTCGGGGATGTACGGCTTGAGTGTTGTTCGGCGTTAGGTCAATACCCGTAGAATGCTCGGCTTTGGGAAACGAGAACCTTCCTGATGATGAAACCCAAAATCCGCAAGAACGAATCACAACAACACCGCCTTCGATCGCGAATGCTGCTCAGTTCTATGATCTACCCCTCATGCTGGGGATGAGCGTGTCTGAAGGTCTCTCCAAATCCGATTGTGCACCCACCCTAAACCCCAAACCCTACACCCCAAACACCCAAAGTCCGAAACCCTAGACGCGGAACCCGAAACCTGAATCCTGTACCCAGCCCCATAGGCTTCATGACTTCATGGATCTAAGGCTTTGGCTTTAGGGCTTCGGGAATAGTGTTTAGGTTATTCGGGTTTAGGGCTTAGGGAGTTATGTTCAAGTTTTAGAGTTTAGGGCTTGCGGTATGGGTCTGCAGGATTTCTCTAGTGGTTGTGCCTACATATATATATATATATATATACTGTGTCACAGTATACCGACCCCCACATGGACCTTGAGGTTGTTCACCACCTTCACCACTGTAGCTACCTCAGAGCAGGATCGGGCACCCAAAACCCTAGGTTTCAGGATCTGACGGCAAGGCTTCCAGGGGGGGGGTGGAAGAACTAAAGCTTCAGAAGCGCACTGGCTTTAAGGATGAGGAGCCAGATGGGAAACGTGGCGAGATGGAGACCACAAGGCACTGATACGGTTGATGATATAAACCCTGCATTACCCATAATAAGGAATATACCATAATTCCCATAGTTAAGGGTCCGTAAGGCAATGCAGGATTTATATCATCAACAGTAGTGATTGCAAAACCCCTGTTGGAGAGTGCAGGCTCCTCACAGGAGCCAACCAAAACGGATTGGCCGTGGCTCGGTTTTTGGCAGCGCAAGCTGGCAGGACAAAAGATCGAAGCGCAAGGACCCTAAGCCGGTGCTTCAGGGGGCTCCCTTTTTGGTATTGGGTAGCTTTATAAGGAACCTAGGACTACAAAAAGGGAATAAGGGTACGTCCTCTCGCGGTCGAGACACAGGCCCGAAACCACGGGTTTCACGATACCGTTGCAAGTGAGAACTGTCACCCCTTGATCAAAATCGTGGAACGGGTGCCTATGCATAAACCCAGGACTCATAGTTTTTTTGGACCTACCATAGGGGGCTGAACCACCAGCCATAGTATCCCTTTATAGTTACTGTAAAACACCGAAGCCCAAAACCAATAACCCTGCAACAGCTGAAGCCTGTAACAGCCTGTAAACCCCGGAACCCCGAATAGATCCATGCACCCTTAAACCCTAAAGCCTAAACCCTTAGCCCTAAACCCTAAGCCCTAAACCCTTAGCCCTAAACCCTAAGCCTTTAACCCTTAACCCTAACCCCTAAACCCCAAACCCTAAGCCCTAAGCCCCCAACCCCCGACAAAACCAGACCTGGCTTTCCCAAAATGCTGTCCGGGCACATCCTCGGGGCCTGGCGAGCTTTTAGCTTCGGGCTGAGGGGCCTTAAGAATGATTGTAGGAGTCCCTTGAAAGGGATCCTTTAAAAGGGGTCTATAAGGGATCTATAGTAGGGTTCTAGGCCTTAAGAATTAGAACAAGGTTTGGTGCCCATTCTACCATAGTGAAAAACATGGAACCCGCAAAATAGTATAGGTAAGCATGTAGGCCCCTATATTAGGATTCTGTATGTTCTGTAAGGGATTTGCAGGGTTCTACACTGTTTCCATCAGGGTTCTAGACTGTTTAGGGCTGATAAGCTTCAGGGCTTAAAATGGGTTTGAATTTGAAGTCATGCTTTTGTATGGAGCACCGAGACCCTAAACCCTAAACCCTATAAGGGGACTTAACAGTTTAGGGCTATACGAGTAATGTGACTATGCGGGTAATGGTTGACCGGGTCGCCGGATGCCCTGTGGCCGCGCTGATCCCAACCTCCAGTATACATGCTCTAAGCGTAAAGCTTAAACAGTGCACCCTTCCTAGACCTCCCAACTACCCTCTATTATACCCTACATACCCACCAAAGGCTCCAGCAAGGGCCACTTGGGGGATCCTCGCAGCACAACTATCCCCTAAAGCCTAAACCCTAAACCCCTGAACCCTAAACCCTAAACCCCTAAACCCCTGAATCCTAAACCCAAGGGCACCTCGCAGCACCACGTAGGCATTCTTGGCGCCGGCACCCTCCTGGTAGGCCTGCTTGATGCGCCCGGCCTGGCAAGCGCTTTGGGCCACAGCTCGGGCCGTGACTTTGGGGCCCTGAGTGACAATTGGAGTAGGGTTGTGGGGTAAACAAGTATGTCATTGTGTAACTATGATAATGATAAGGAACCTAATGGTACAACTATGATAAGGAACCCGATTGAATAACATTGTTACTTATTCCGGCGTGTAGAATAGGTTTTGGGGTGTGAAGTCGCCACTCTCTACCGACAGCTCAAGCCGCCTGAAACAAGCCTTAGCCTGGCAGTCCGAGGGGTCTGGTTTGGGCGCTCCGTTTTGTTCCTTTTTGGGGGCTCTTTCCATTCAAGGGTTTCTATAAAGGCCCAGTAAAACCGGCTTAGTTTAGGGACCTTGAACATCAGAATAAGCTTCCTTTGAAGGGTCGCCTTGATGGGTTCATTTTGGGTTTACGGGTGGATCTCTAACTTAGGATTCGTTTTAGGGTCCTTGTCATAAGGGTGCCGCACTCTCTTGGGGACTCAAAAAAGGACTTGATTTAGAGAACTGCCCTTATATGGCTCTGCGCAAGATGCTAGAGGTTCGGCTGGCTTTTCAGTGGAAGCATAACAACCCACATCCGGAATCCTGACCCCCTGAACGACCTAAACCCGCCCTTGGGTTTCAGGGTTTGGGGTTCCGATAACGATTACTACAAAGGTTATAGGTTCCTACAAAGGGCTCAGGGTTCCGGTATGGATCCGGGCCTTTCGCAGCTCGTTGGAGGTGTTCCAACGGCTTTCCAGGGGCAGCGACCGAAACCAAATAGGCCTTGAAGGGTGGTCATACAGTGACAGCAAGGGACACTACAAGAGTTGCTCATCTTGCTCGCAGGCTTCTGAGGAACGATGAGCACGTTCTGCACGAAAGCGAGGATACAACAAGTGACATTCGGAATGAGCATCGCTTAATGTGTATTGGAACCCTTAAAATTCCTTCAATAAAGGCTCACGACCAAGATAGAGGGCATAAGTCTTAGGGCTTGAGGCTTGGGGCTAAAGAGTGGGCAAGAAGGATCGAACCTCTCGTGAATCCGGAACGACCCTATACAGGTGTCGCAAACTACAGCCTAATCCCAAGCCCCCACATGTAAGTCGCTGACTTGAGTTGGCCCTCATAGGTCGTGCCTCAGTCAGCAAATCAAGGCTGAGTAATAGCTTTGGTGTGTTTTGGGGCTGGGGGTTTAGGCAGCGAGCTTAACGGTTTGCGGTTTCGGGTATGGGAGTGAACCGTACTGCCACAGCGCCCTGCTCATAAAACTGGTGTTGATGATGTCGACGACACTTGAATGATATCACTGTGTCTGCTACAACCTATCGTCTTACTGAAGTTCTTGCAATGTAACTCGGTCGTGGTGCTCGGAGTTTCAACAACTAGTAATAGTTTCCGAGAACACCTTAGTCGCTGAGTTCATAGCCCCCAAAAAGTGTACACTTTTAGTTTTATACTGGGTGATATTATCCCAAAAAGTGTAAAGTGTATCCACTCAGCTACTAAGACACGAGACTGGCCGGAGTACCGCCAACACCGCCATTTCCGGCGATTTGGTTATTTTCCACATTGTTCCTTAATGGTCCTGCTATTACAGACCCTTCTCGTCTGCTCCTGTTGGCATTGTTGGTACTTTGACTACCGTGTCCATTCTAACAGGCCTTGACCCCATGGTGCAAAATGCCATGCTCTCCAACTTGGACCCGCTGGCTCGGCCCCTGTAGCTGCTCAACACACATCTGCACAAACCCTCAAAGAAGCCCCTTGCTTAGGGTCCCTCTTGGCCTAAAACCAAAAGCCCTAAGCCCAAAAGCGCAGAGCTTCGAACCGCAAGCCGCTCGCAGCAACCGACGCAGGCGCTTCCTTGGCCGTGGAGGGCTTTAAAGGCATCTATAGGGAGTCTATATAAGGGTGTAGGGTTTAGGATTCAAGGATGAGGGTTTCGGGGTTGTGGGGTTGGGGGTTTAGGGTTTAGGGTTTTAGGGTTTTAGGGTTTTTAGGGCTTTAGGGTTTTAGGGTTTAGGGCTTCAGGGCTTTAGGGTTTTTAGGTTCAGGGTCAGGATTTAGGGTTTTAGGATTTAGGGTTTAGGGGCTCCCCGTTTCAGAAAGTCTTCGTGGTATCAAGGCTTCTTGGTGCTACTTCGGGGGTCGATTATGAAGTTCCATGGGGTTTACGAGATTAGGGTTTGTGGGGTTAATATAGGGGCCTTCATGATTAGAACAGAAAAAATTTCAAAAACAAGGAACCTCAAAATAGTGTTGGTAACAATTTAGGCTCCTGCATTAGGGTTTTTGCCGTATGAGGATCCGACTCTTTTCGGTCCAGAGAGTCTTCGGGCTTCGAGTCTCTAAGGGACTTTTGGCTGAGGGTTCCCGTAAGGGCTTAGAGTTTAGGGCTCCTTTAAGGGTTTGGGGTTTAGGGTTTTGAAGGTTTAGGGCTTTGAGTCATTGCAAGGCATTTTCGGGAAATTGCTAGAACAACAGTGAGAAGAGCAGCTATGTTTGTAGCGCTGAAGACACAGTGAGTAAGCATCGCCACTGCAGCAACAGCAGTGCTACAAGAACAGCCAACACGGCACGGGTCAAACTTAGCATTTATAGCAACCATCCATGATGACTGCGGGATACCGAAAGACCTAAAGGAGGAGCACGGCGCAGGGATCGGGTCGTGCATGGGTCATGCGGGTGTTGGGTTTGACTGTGTGGGGCTTCTAAAAGGTCTTGGGCTTTGTTGCGTTCATTATGTAGACTTCGGGGTTTACCGATACAAGTTTAGGGTTTAGGTTTTTTTTTGAAAAGGTGGCTGTTGAATCAGCAAAAGCCGAGGCCCTGTCTCGTCCCACGCCACAGGCACGTTGCCAACAAACATCGTCCGCTTCTGCAGGGCTCTTGCGCTTAGGGTTTGGGGGTTTCAGGGTGTTGGGATTGGCGGATATGGAGTTGTAGATGTATTGAGGGTTGGGGGCTTCAGGGTTCAGGGTCCCGGCTTTAGGGGCTATATAGGGTTTCGCTTTAGGATTTGGGGGCTCACTTCTTTTTGCCTGAAACTCCAACCTCAGATTCTGCAGCCTCGCGACAATAGGAGAAGTCCGAAGTGTCCAAGCCGAACAAGCCCTAAACCCTAAACTTCCCATGGTCCCTTTATGTTTTCAGTCTGCGACAACGGGAGCAGTGAAGCTGCGCACGATAGAATCTTAAAGCATGGTAGCCGACAGCAAGGGTCGTCACAAGACTGTATGACTATGATGGGAAAAGCATGATCATCATCTTCTTCTGCTCCAGAATAAAAATCACTGTCATAATCACCAGCATCACCATCATCAACATCATCACCATCAACACCATCATCACGATCATCAGCAACAACAACCTGTCATCGTCAGGCATCATCCTCGACATCGTCATCATCATCATCATCATCAACCTCACCAGCATCGATATGAAAAGCGAATCGACCTGAGAAACGACATGCTTATCCGCAACCAACAGTCCTTCTGATCCTATTTCCAGACTCCAGACACAACAGGTTCCTCCTGTAGATACCAGCGCTACGACACGAAGCTTCCATGCTCCTAAACCCTGACCCCTAAACCCCAAGCCCTAAACCCTACACACTGCGCCCTCAACGGCTTACAGCTTATGGTTCAAAGAAAACCGTTGCCTCCCGTTCCTTGACTTCGGACTCATCGAGCTTGCGCTTCTTCCCAGTCCTCAGACAACGCAAGACCTGAACCCCACATCCAAACCCAAAACACCTGGGGCTGGTTTTCTTTTTCAGGATGCAGAGTTTGGGATGTTCTCTAGTATAGGGTCAATTTTGCCGAGCGAAGCATACACGTGACAGTTACATGTTTAAAGTGTGCAGGCTAAGGAGGGCCGCAGGTGAGGGTTTTTCGGTCTAGATTTTATTGGGTCACTTTTTGCGTTGGGCTTTAAACGCTTTCAACCACGAAGGGCTGTAGGTTGTTTGAGATATTTGACGTCTTGATATGATTTTTCTGGTTTCAGGTCCAACTGTTGGCAACTGCTCTGATGAGGACTGAGCGCTTGGCTCAGACGGTGAAGCCCCTTGTGCATCTTCGGAAGGTCCTTTGCAGCTTCGGATACTTTTTGTTTTCGGCATTCGGACTTCGATGTATGGTTCAGGGTTTAGAGTTCAAAACTAAACCTTAACAAAAGGTCTCCAAGGAGGAACCGGTTTATGAGGCACTGTAAACGGCTGTAAATCTGTAGGGCAGTGCCATCAGAAACGAGGTCCTATCAAGCGCTGGCAATTTCCGTATCATACATCCCTCGAGGTGGTAATCGTGTGGGACCAGCATGGGCCAGCAGTCGCGCGGGCCCTAAAGCTCTAACCGTTAAATCTGCAGGCTGAACCCTAAGCCCCCAAACCTAAGCCTTAGCCCGAACGCCTACGTACACCTAAAGTCCTGAACCCCAAACCCAAAGCCGTAAGACGGCCTGCATCGCCTTTCTTCTCAAGTTTCGATTTCACCTTCTTGCCAAGGACTTTTGTGGCCACCTTGCGAGGGGGTCACTTGCTTAAGGCTTGAGGCTAAAACGAGTTTGTGTGTCCAGTAACTCTTTTTGGGCTTCAGGGTTGTACTTGGAGGTTCTTGGGTAGTTGTAAGTGGAGCTATATATATATATATATATATATATATAAGTACGGTAACTTTACTTCTTATAATCCCTATGAGGAGACTTGTAAGCCCACTTATAACTGCCCAGGAACCTCCGAGTAGGGTGTAGGCTTCTTTCTTGGCCTAACGATTCTCGTGCTTGGGGTTCGGATCTTACGTCTCACAGCTTAATCACGACCAGTGATACCCCACCCTCTCAACTTAGGTCCTAAACCCCAAACCCTAATTAAACCCCTAAACCCCTAAACCCTAAAGGCCCTAAACCCTAAACCCTAAAGGCCCTAAATTTTAAATTTAGGTCCCAAACCCTAAACCCTAAACCCCAACCTCTCAATTAAGGTCTCCAGGTTTCCAAGGTCTACCCCTTCCCAAGAGCACGAAGCGAAGGCGTCCGAAACTTCACAGTAAGTGTTGCACGGAGGCGCCTGCAGAGCCAGGTATTAAGAAGTACTTTGTATCAGACTTGTGGACGAGAATTACATGACTATCGGGTTCATGAGAGGAAAACCAAGTTTCAAAATATTGGCAAGTAATTGCTGGATGTGTCCTTTTGAGGCTCCTACCAGCTCGGGCAGCTCTTTCTTGGCTTTCGCGGCTTTAGCACCTGCCACTGCCACGACCGAAAATCTGCTTGAGTCCGTCAACAGCTTGAGGCCCAGCCGCGTCCGCACATCTACAAACCCAACCCTTGCCAAAAATCCCTGCCGCATTAAACCTCCACAACCTTGAAACCATAAGCCGTAACATCGAAACTCCCTAACCTTTCAAGCATCCACCCCGAAACATCGCCGGAGGCTCGCTTGCCCGCTCTTGCAGAGCCACCGGAGGCTCGGATCATGGCTGCTGGTTTAGGCTTTTTTGGATAAGGGTTTCCGGGTTTAGGGTTTAGGGTTCTTTATTTAGGGTTTAGGGTTTTTTTGTTTAGGGTTTAGGGTTTTAGGGTTAAGTAGGTCGAGAATTCATTGGGAAGAAAGCCAGGAAGCGAGCCTTGAATCGTAGTTCTCGATATTAGGATCCCCTTTTTGGGGGGTCCTTCTTGTGAGGGTGTGCCGATTCATGGGGACGAGAGTTCGTGGGGAAACACTAGAAGGGGCCCCCACCCTGTAATAGTGGTATAGTAGGAATATAATAGCGCCCTAATATAATCCTTGTAGTCACTATTACAGGGTGGGGGCAGCTTCTAAGCTTTATGTCTGTGCGAACCGACGTTTCCTCCCGAATGCATCTGCATGCCAAAATAGACTCCAGCACCGGCTCCGGGGGCCTTAGCAACGCATAGGCTGTCTTTTTGGAATGGGGGGGGGGGGGGGGGATAGAGTATAGGTAGAAGGGAAACCAACAGGGATATGTAAGGCTACTGCGGGTACCAATTCAGACCCTTCTGACAACCTCTTTGATTCTCATTCGTGCTACAGATTTCTTTGAGCCAGAGGCTAAAGCGGCACTCCTGCAGCTTTGACTGCTTCGAAACTGCAAAAGCATCGGTTGGAAAGGCTTCGTAAGGTTTGTAACTACAGGGATTTATCAGGAGAGGTTTACAAGGTCTTACATTTACAGGCATTTCATAGAATTATTGGTAAGGCTTTTATATCATCACAATCACAAAACAAAGGCCACCCGTAACCGGCCACAAAACGACAGCAGCAGCAGCATCAGCAGCAGCAGCAACAGCACCAAACACCAAAATCACCGTCAAGTTGCCCCTGTTCCCGCTGCTAAGGCACCACCAGTCCCAACAGCCATAACATCAAAGAGATGGCAGACACAACGTGATCGATGCACATTAAGCACAAACGGTATCAACCAAAAATACGATCAAGACCAAGACCACAATGCCGACGCCCACGGGGACGACAAAGACTGCAGCCATGACAACGAAAAGCGGTAACCACCATGAAGACCGAACATGAAGACCTCGGCATTATGACTTGATCATCATCACAATCAAACAATCATCTCACCCTTTCACCACAAAATGCAATCATATAGCCATATAGTCGATAACTATTTAACCATATAGTCATGTCATCATAGAACCGCATAACCATAAGAAAGTATGGATACTTAGAGTTAGCATCACAGCACAATGACAACCATAATCACGGTCCTGGTCGGTATCAAGATTAGAATTATCATCCGGCAGCAAAACCTTGACTGGATTTAGAAGCATCGGTGATTTCACCCCCACAAACCACTCGAGAACAACAGCCAAAAATCCCGAAAAACTTGAAAAACCTTGAAAACCCAGTTTCCCAAAAAACACATAAATCTTGAAAATCTTTCCAAATACTAAAAACAACATACAAACAAAAATCACAAAAATTCCAATAATCTTGAAAAATATTTGCCAAAAATCTTGAAAATGTTATGATTATTTCCAAAATGTTTCAAATTATTTCCACAAATATCCGACCTAATTTATGCGTATGTATATATATATATATATATATATTCATCTATAAAATACTATGCACTGGCGCCATCTTGTTTTACCCTCGCCGCAACTTCTTGAAGGCTCCGCGGGACCCAAGGCCCTCTGGCCCTGCAGAAGCCGCGCCGCTTTGCAGCAAAGCCACCGCTGCACATGCCGTATCTACGTCTTCTACATGAGAGACAGGGGCGGCAACCTCAGAATCTCTCCATTCAAGGCATGCGAGCAGGCTCTGAACAACACCCATGACGACAGGCAGAGCCATCGCATTGCCTGCCAAGTCTGCCATCAGCCCTTCAGTGGGGAACCCGGCCGGCGGCCTATCGACACTCCCGGCCGGCGGCCCCTGGTCGAACTTCGTCTCCCCTCCACGCTTCTTGCTACTGGAAGCGGCAGTCTCATTTGCAGACCCGGTTTGCAACCCTTGCCTCTGCCTATCTTCGCAGAACTTGCTGTCTTGCAAAGCTTGCAGGAATGAATAGACGGGGTAGCCCTGCAAACATAAGGCTTCCCGCCCCAACAATATGCGAGCCTTGCTGGAATCGATCTTGTTCTCCAGCCACAGGGTCATCTTAGTGAGAAGAGTCGGGCACACATGCCGACCCAGGTCCTCTTGCCAGGTGGTAGTGTTTGCCCGCGTAATTGACTGGCTGAGATCACGCACCATCGTAAGTCGCTGCGGCATCTGTGCTTGAAGCAACGGCAGAGCATTCTTTTCACGATTGCCAAGTGTGTGGTACCAGGGGTTTTGCTGCAGGTGCTCGCCTACCGGTTGTGACCACAGCGTTTGCAGACTCTCAGCGAAGCGCATATGCGCTTCCGGCCACTCTGCCTGCCCAACAGAAGACATTGGCTCCTGAGGTTTGCTTCTGCGGGCTGCAAGCTCTGCCAAAACAGCTTCGTCGTCGTGGGGCAGCAGGACATGCTCCAAAGATGGTGGCTCCCGCATGCACGTGCCCAGGAACTTACGGAAATAGGAAAAACATTCCATCACCGGCCGTTTGGAAAAATCCACAAGGTTGTTGGCAGTCATCTGAACAAAAACAACGTAAAGTCTCCTTCGTCGGCATGGCAATCCGAATTTGGAGGCTTCGCAAATTGTTGCTTGAGCTTGGTATCCACGAATGTGAAACTCCTGCAGCAGCACCTCCATGTTTGAACCTGGCCCGCTCGACGAGCTATCCTCCAGCAAGGCGTCCACGTTTTCGTAGCAAACTAGCGGCGGCCGCTGAGCATCCAAGTACGCGAGCAAGCCACGAAAAGTTTGGGCGCTTCCGCCACGAGAGGTTGTCTGCTGAAGGACGTTGTGATGTTTTGCCTTATTCTGATTTGCTTTGCTCAAATCACGACACGAAGTGCCCGCGACCAAGAGGTCGACGTGCGGGACGAAGCATTTGCCGCCGTGCGCCATGCATTTGGACAAGCGGCTCCCCATATCAGTAATGTCGCAGAACCGGCAAGGCATCTCAGAGGAGTCAGGAGGTGCTTTGAAAAGATCCGGATTGAAGTCCTCGAAGTCCTGAGCATTAACCTCCCGCTGAGCAGCATCCGCAGCTTGACCCGGTGTGCCACCTTCCCTTGCTGCAAGATTATCCCCATCATCAAGCTTTTCATATTTCTGCTTCTTTTTGGATGTACTTGCGCTAGTTGACTGCTGCAACTGCTTCAGAGTTGCCGGGCCGCAGTCTGCAACAGCCTCTATCCAACAACGCTTGTCTGGCTGGATCTCACAGCTGAATTTGTGTTCCAAAACGAAGTCCTGACATGCAGCATCCACCGCTGCATTGATTGCTTGCATCACGAAATAGACGCCTTCGGAGCCTGAGCAAAGGCTGCCCCAAGTCAGTTTTCTCGGGGTTGGGTAGACGCTAGTGTCCGCAACTTCCCCAAACCGTTGAAAGTTGCTGCGCGCAACCCGCAACAACCATGACCCACTGTGCAGCTCGTCTGCACTTATGGGATCAGGTTCGCAGATGTTCGGTGTCTCAGATACCCGCTCCACGAGCTTTCGACTCATCTGGCTCTGGCCCGAGCAGCGTCACAATCCTCACCGTGGCTGCGCAGCACCCTTCACACGGCCCACCCACCCTTTGACCGCTTAGCTGCTGGTTGCGCCACGGCAACACTCCTTGCGGTACCCAAAAAGTGAAACGTACGTGCCTAGCTGTCCGGGACCTAAAAGCTGCCTAAGCTATTCTAGGGTTCTACCGTCGACTGTTTCCTGCACCAGCAAATCAGGACATATAACTATGATGGAATTCATGGAGATAAACAACTTTGCATCTTTGCATGCGTTGACACGACTCTATATAACAGCCCGGCTGAACTTAATGATACATTCATTCAGGTCCAAGTTCGAGCCAGCTGGCTGGGGCGACGCGCGGTTTCCTGGCATGGAGTCACGCGTATGTGCATGTAACTTACAGGCCTGTACTAATACTACGGCAGTCCTTGCGATCCGACAGGTGACACGTGCTCTGCGCACGAATGCTGCAATTGATTTTTTGAGCGCGCCGGAAGACGCAAGTCGGTGCTGAACTGTAACGCTGAAGCTGGAGAACACACTCAGCAGTCGCAAGTGCTGGGGACGCTGATACCGATACTACAGTATATATTATGTATTTTTGCAGTGACTAGACTGACACGACTGAAGCACAACGTCACAGAACTCTGGTACACGACTGTCACCAGTACGAGCGACTGCTGTCCCCAGGACGAACCGGAACCGTCTCGGTCGTGCTTTGGCTGTTCTCACTGTTTCTTGTCCTTGTTCTTCCGGAAGAGCTCTGCCAAGCCTTTGTTCCAGTCTGCTGGCTTCAGCTGCGCAGGCTTTGTACCCCGGTCAGCGACCCCTGGTTTCACCTCTGCCTCTGCCTTTGCTGCGGCTGCGGCTGCCTGTTTCGGCTGCGTCTTGGCTGCAGCTTTGACCTTTGCCTTTGCTTTGACTTTGGCTTTGGCTACCGCTGAAGCAGCGGCAGCTTTCACCGAGTCACGCACAGTCTGCACAGTCTTGGCACGCGGTCCCTTGGCGCCCTTCTCCGGGACGGCCTCCTCTTCGTCCTCTTCGTGCTTTCGCTTCTTGCTCTTCTTGTTTTCCTTCTGCTGCTTTTCGACTCTCTTCTTGCTTTTCTTTTCTTTCTTGTCCTTCTTGTCTTTTTTCTTCTTGTCCTTTTTGTCCTTCTTTTTTTTCTTGTCTTTGTCCTTGTGTTTTTTCTCCTTCTTGTCTTTGCCTGTCTTCTTTTGTTTCTCCTGTTTTTCTTGGCCCTCTTTCTCCACTGCTTTGCTTTTGCCTCCCTGCGTGGATTCCTTAGCCTTGGCCTTAGCCTTCTGTTTGTGAGGGATGACGAAATCCTTGCCCTTGAGATCTAAGAGTATCGTGGCTTTGACAGGAGGAATCACCGGCTCGGCGAGCTTCGAGATGCCGGATGCTGTGCCCGTTCCAGGCTGAAGGCCCTGCCCCGCTGAGCCTCGCTTTCCGGGTGGCTCTGCAGCGTCTTTCAGCGGCGCGAGCGTTCCAGGATCAACCAGTTGGTCCTCCTCTAGCTCCTCCTCCTCACCGTTTTCCTCTTGGCAGGCCTCTTCCCGGTCTGCGACCTGTGTTGTCACTGTTGCTGCAGGTGCTGCTGCAGCTGCGCTTTGGTCAGCATCCGTCGCAGCAGCCTGGTTGCTTGCAGGCTTGGAGCTGCAGCTGCTCTCTGCCACAAGCTCTTCTTCCAGCTTCCGCTTCTGCCCCACCTGCACGTTTTGCGGCGGATCCTTACAGCGCGGCAGCTCTTCCGGCTGAGGACTCGCGGCAACTGCCTCTGCCACTTCGTCAGCAGTCGGGCCTGGAACTAACCCGCTGTCACAAGCCTCCTGCGTTGCTTTTTCTTTTGCGGCGCCAACCTCTGGCACTGCTTCTCCTTTTTCCTGCACGAGGACGCCGCTTGGTGCTCCTTCCTCTGTTGGCTGTTCTGGAAGCTGGCTTTCTGCGGCAGGCTGTGCTGCTGGTCCCGCTTCTGCAAGCTTGCTTTCTGCGGCGAGCTGCGCTGCTGCTTCCGGTTCTGGAAGGCGGCTGCTTTCTGGGGCAGGCTCTGCTGCTGCTTCCGGCTCTAGAAGCTTTCTTTCTGGGGCAGGTTGCGCTTCCGACGACGCCACGGGAGGCTCTGCGCTGCCAGCGGTCTTCCCAGCTCTGGGCTGCAGTTTTGCAACTTCGTCACGCAACTTCCCCAAGCTGGGAAGCCTGCTGCGGCCTTCTTCACACTGGTCCCAGTTCACGTCCGTGATGGTCACGGAACACTTACCCAAGGATCGCTCCACGGCACCGACCATGTCAAGCAACACCTGCTTGACATAATCGGCTGGCAGTGTTTCAGCAAACGGTGTCTCCTGCCAGTTTCCCTGCCAAAAGCCAACAAGCAGAGCGTCAATTTTTTTTGACGTACTCTTTCCTTCCAGAGACTTGGCTCCAGACGAGGTTGAGCGCAGCAAGGTTAGACCTGCGAAGAACGTCACGTGCGCAGCGAGCACTTTTGCAGCAGCTTGCACCCTCACCGCAACCCGGACAGCGTCCGATTCGAAAGCAGCATCCCCACCGTCAGGATCGTTTTCCGTCAGCTGCCCACATGCATTCTGCAAAGCATCCGCAGTGCAACGCGCCGCCTGCGCGGCGCTCGCCCACGTCTGGACGTGCTGCGACAACGTTGTTCGATACGCTGCCTCATCAATCCGCGGGTTCGGCATGCTTTGCAAAGCACGCACAGCGACCAGCCCGGCCTTTTTCACTGTCTCGACCCGCTCTGCGAGCGATTCTTTGAGCAGCTGGCGCGATAACTCTGCCGTTGCCATCAGCCATCGCTGTAGCTGAGGCGTCGACAGCTTCATCGCAGCAGTCTTCTCCGGGTTGGACTGCAGATCATGCTGGTGCTTCTGCAGGGCCTGCAAGAGCTCTTGACTTCCCTTGAGATGCTTCCCAAAGTCGTCCGAGACTCTGGCCCGCAACTCATGGTTCTTTGCAGCTAGCCGGAAGAAGGCTGCCCAAACGGGTCGAAGCTGACAATCCTTTGGCATCTCCATGGTCAGCTTCTCGATTATTGCAGCTGCCACTGGTTCGTTGCTCTTGCCACTGGCTACCAGCTCCGCGAAGTCTCCAACTTCGTGGTAGGCCTGCAAAGCCGTTGTCTGTAGCTCCGTCACAGCAGTCGGGCTGAAGTGCAGGAAGAAGGCCTGCTGGATCTGCAAGCTGTCTTTGCTTTCAGGGAGGAGCTCCCCTACAGCGACAGGGAGATCAGAGGTCCAGAACGTCATTTCATCTGCCGAGGGCGTCCCAGCGTCCGGGCAGAGGCCGGGAACTCTCTTCTGAAAGACGTACGCGGCAAAGGCACGCAAATGCACCCGAACAAACCTCTCTTTCTCTAGCCGCTCATCCAACTCCTTCGGTCGTTGCCGGGCTTTGGCCAGCGTCTCAAAGAACGGCTCAAGCGCTGTCTGTGTGTGGCTGAGTTCCCGCACTGCTGCAGCAAAGTCGAGAAGGGCAGGCTCCGCGTCGGGCGCGGAATCCAGAGGCACCACCATGCCGTTGCCACGCAACGCACGGGTCACGTAGTCCAGGAAGCCCAGGACCTCCTCCTGCGACTCAGTGGTGGTCTTGAACAAGATCCATTCTAGAAGTTGCTTTGTCAGCTGCTCGAGCTCAACCCTATGGGCTGCCTTCGTGGCCTTCTCTTTTGCCTCCACAATCTTCTTCCAGATCGGTTCCAGATGGCTGCGCACGAGTCCCACAGTGACGTCCTCAACCTTCTTCAAGGCTTGCAAGAGTGTGCTCACTTCTTGCAGCATCTGCTGCAAAAGACGCTCTCCCTCCCCACTCTGGACTTGTTCCCGGCCAGCGGCCGTCAAAGTTGTCCCCAACCGATGCTCTACAAAGAACTGCAGCATGACACGTGCTTCCTCCTCTGCGGCATCCTCGCAACTCTCGCCTTCAGCAAGCTTTGCAAAGTTGTCTACGCGCACAAGTGCTTGCCGGCAAGCCTCCAAGTCCTGCGAAGGGAAAACCAAGGCGTGAGCCAATCTCACTTGCGACAAAACCCGCTGCACCAGCTCGTTGTCGCTGCTGTCCTCCATTGCCTTGCAGAGCTGACCGAATTGCTCCTTGGCATCCGAAGCAGCCTTGCCCACGTCAGTCATGGGAATATTTCGGAGGAGACTGCTGAGCCGATTGCTCAGATCAGTGACAGCCCACGCTTGCACCTGGGCGGGTGGCCACATGCGTTGCAGCTGCGAAATCTCCCGGCCATGCAGGGAATCCTTCACGTCGTAGTGAGCACACAATTCCTTGTACTGCCGAAAAAGGCAGCTCTGGGCTGCTTTGGCAGAGATCGCTTTGGCGTAAATGCTCGGTTCCACGATGATATTCAGGCGGCTCGCCCGCAGACGCGTGCAAGCCTTCGTGAGCTGCTCCGCGTCTGGGTTCGCACTGTTTCCCGCTGCAAACACCGTGGAAGCAGCCGCAGCCACATCGCTCACTTCGGACAGCTCTTCTTCCTCAGCCGCAAGTGCTGCCCTGTTGGCACTCTCCACGAGCCGCTTGGTCTGCGTCTTCAAGGCCGCGACCGCTTGGTTCAGCACCCTGGAGCGCTCCTTTCGTTCTTTGGGGTCCTCAAGCTGCGCCAGCGTAGTCGTCTCCAGATCGCGGATGATGTCATCCAGATGTTTGCGCAAACTCTGCTTGAGTCTCTCACCCCGGCCGTCCAACACGAGGAGCGCCGTGGGCTCTGCCGCTGCCGAGTCTGGCTTCTCCTGCTTCACCGGCCGCAAAGCTGGCAAGTTGGGAGCTTCTACCCGGCTAGCAGCCTTCGCTTGCACACTGGCTGGCTTCGGCTTCTCCGACCGAGAGCCAGTGCTCACAGGTGCTGCAGCTGCTGCTTTGGCCTTGGGCACGCTCTTCGCCTTGGCCTTCGCAGCAGCCGACTGCAGCGCAGCCTTTGCTTTGGGCGCCCCAAACCTAGCTGCCAACCTGGAAGCGGAACTGACACCCGCATCCTCTTCTGCTGACGACTCTTGCTCCTCCTCCTCCAGAGGCTCAGCTTTCACGGCCGTTTCCGGCGCAGCCACCGTTCCTGCAGCCGCCCCGGCGCCCCGCTCCACGAGCGTTACACCTCCGCCCGCTCCTTCCAAGAGCTTCAGGACGTCCGAAAGGTCGGCCGGCTTAGGCGCCTCGACACTGGCCGCGTCGCGCGCAGCCTTCGCCTCGTTCCAAGAGTTGTTGGCAGCTTCACGTGCGTTGTTCAAGGCTTCTTCCGCGAAACACGTTTTTGAGGAGTCTTCCTCCACCCTGGTCTCCCTGTTCGCGGCGTCCACGTATTCTTCAACTTTGTAACGACCGGGCTTCTTGAAGATTCCCTTCACCGTTTTCCCCGCTACGTCGAGCTCGGTGACTTTGCTCTCGTCCCACACGCCGTCTTTCGCCTCGTCCCACTCGTCCTTCGTCACAAACTCGCGCTTCTGTTTGATGCGCATGCCGGCGGCGGTTTCGGACTGGATGACCACCTTGGCCTTTTGCACAGCCTTGGGGTCTGCGATACGCCGACGCTCCGGGTTTGCGTTGTGGTCCGCAATCCACTTGGCCAATGCCGCCATGAATGGCGCATGATCGCCCTGCTTCTGCTTCAAGCATTTATCGCTGTATTGCTTGTACGATCCCCACTTGTGTTTCAGTCCTAGCAGACTATAAACATTAGAGCACAGCAAACACAGCTTGCCTTCGGGCACCCGGTACGCGACCTCTTCCTTTGTCACTGGGCGGTACTTCGCCCAGGGACGCCGCGCTCCCCACGCGTCTCCCTCACACGAGGTCGTGAGCGGAGACTGGGACGTGGAGGTGGCGCCGCAAAGACAGCAAGTACAGACTTTCGTGAGATCAAAGCGCACCGTCCGATTGGACCCCAACACCGACGCAGTCTCGTCCGGCTCGTCGTTTCCGAACCCGCTCTGCGAGCCAAGTTCGTCGTCCATCTCAGCTGGCCTCCGCCTTTGGGGCCTACTCTTCACTCACTCAATCACCCCGCGGCGGGGAAATTGCGGCTACGGTCTCGAGCCCAGGCCCTCAGCCGCGCCCCCTCTTCGCAGGGGCAGACTGTCCACCGGGCAAAAGCACGGGGCCAACCGACGCAACCCCAACGGCCCAAGGCCTACCGGCTACCGGCTGCGAGGCTGCTCGGCTGCCTCCCTGAGCCGAAAAATTACAGCGCGCAGGTGTCTGCAGAAACGCGCGACGCAGCCGCAGAGAAACTGCACAAAACACAAGCTGCACAAGCTCTTCTTCTGTGCGATGTGCATAGAATAGGTCGTCTATTTACTCATACTATCAAAGAATTTTATTGATTTATTAGAAAATATTTATGAATACTTGAAATATTTCTATTTTATTTTATTGAACTTGATAGATTTCTTGAGACAGGAGTTGTATCGAGAAAACAGGAAGTTATATCGAGAAACCCAGGGGTTATATCGAGAAACCCAGGGGTTATATCGAGAAACCCAGGGGTTATATCGAGAAACCCAGGGGTTATATCGAGAAACCCAGGGGTTATATCGAGAAACCCAGGGGTTATATCGAGAAACCCAGGGGTTATATCGAGAAAGGAAAAACAAGAAAAGTTACAACAAATTATATAAAATACTTATAATTCTTGAAAATATATGGGAAAACATACGTTCTTTCTTAAAAATAAGACAAGCTGCATAATATTCTTGACTCCTGAGAAAAAAAGCAACTACAAACAACAGCGACTGGGTCTGCGAGCTCGTGAAAACTGCACGCTCAAAGAGTTTCACACAGCAGCGCAAGCGGCAGCTGTGCTATTTTTCCGGTCTGCCACGGCTTCGCACCTACGTCACTGGGTGAAACGCGGTCCGCATCAGCCTGCCGTGGCTGCAGCCTGGGCACGCTCCATGAACCCGCGCATCCAATCATCCATCTCGCGCTCCGACGGTCCTTCCTGCAGGCGCTCCAAAGGCAAGTGCACGTGCGTGGTCCGTTGCCGATGCGCCGGCCAGCCGTCTTGCTCCATGAGTCCCATCAGCAGCCACCGCTTCAGGAGCAGAACACATTCCGCCCTGGACCGCGACCCGCAAGAGAATGCCTTCTTGCACTGCGTCCTGGATGCAGCTTCTCCCGCCACGCTGTGATCGCAGTGGAGCCCGCAGATTGCACCCCAGCCTGTGACCTGACCATCGCTGGAACGGACTATTGCTGAAATCGAGAACGGGCCCCATGGCTCGGCCCGCTGCTGGAGCTTGCGGCCCGGCCGGCTGCCACCCGCCCCACGGGCAGCAACCACTGCGTGCGCGTCCCCTGCTGGTGCAAGCGGCCGGGCTTCTGAGGCGCCCTCTGTCTGTTCTGCTGCTGCTGCTGCTGCTGCTGCTGCTGCTCCGCCACTGCCCATAGAAGGCGCTGCAGAGCCTGCATCTGCATGCGCGCGAATCCCTGGCACATCCCCTGACGGCCCCCCGTCGGCACGTGCCGCCGAGCTTCCCGCTGTGGGCACGTTCCCGTCCTCCGCGTCAGTCTCCGCGTCGGTCCAGGTCACAGAACTATCATCGGAGGAGGCGTCCGCAATATCTGACTCTGCCTCACTAGCAGAGCCGTCTGTGGCGACTTCCCGCCCGGTCTGCGACCGCTTCCGTTTCGAGCCTGCGCGTGTCTGGCCTGTGGTTTTGGCTCTGGGCGGATGCGAGCCTGCATCCTTCTTCCGACTCCGCCCCTGCCGCTTGGTGTTTGCTTTCTTGGCCGCACGCAGCGCCGCCTCTTGCAGCATGGCTTCCCGGCGCTGCTGGTCCAGATCATCTTGGGAAAAGGGCTGCTCGCTGCTGACGACAAAGCGAGCCAAACTGCCGCCGGGATTGCCCAAGCGCAAGACTCCGAACGTCCAGTCTGCAGCCAGTTGCACGAGCCGTACGCAGAAGACCGTGTCGCTGCAGAACTGCGTTGCAGCCGGGGGGTTGGGCAGGAACAGTTCGGCTGGGACTCCGGAGGCTGTGTGGTTGGGAGCCTCCAACTCCAGCAACACACTTTCGGGAGGGTTGGTTCTTGTGGCGAAGCACACCGCAACATACTTGGTAATCCGGCAAAGGCCCCTACCTGAGGCGCGCAAGCGCAGCAGCAAAGCTCCTGAGCCCATCTGGCCTGGCTGCGGGTAACCGTAGCGAACAAGCGTGGCAAGGTTCAGCTGCAGCCGTCTGAGCGCCACCAGCTGTGCCGCGTTGAGACAAGATTCACACCCGCCCTGCGGGCAAGCACCAAAGAGGTGCACGTCCTTCTCGCCCGGAAGGGAAAAGTTCGGGAGCTCCTCCTCCGGCTCGGAGTACTTCGATTTCCAGGCCTCCGCCATTGCCCGACGGTTGGTTCCTTTCATGGCCTCTGCCACAAGCTCCGTGCGCAAAGGCCACCGCCCCTCGAGCGAGGCGATGCGCCATGGACCCCCCTCCGCGTCCCTGGCGTCTCCTTGCTCCTGCTGCTGAGCGGCGGACAACAAGTTGCGTTCCCGGGCGCGGCGGCTGTACTCTGCTTTCTCTTCGGCGCTCAGCTCCTCCCGCCAGATCCGTCTGCTGTCCCGCAAGAATTCAGATAGCTTCCCAGCATCACCCCCACTCAAGGCATCGCTGACGGCTTGGCTCCGCTCACTCGTAAAAACGTGCAAACCTGTCATGCGCTTGGTCTCCCGGTCAGCGACCCAGCAAGGACGGCTTTTGGCCGAGTGCTTCTTTCCGACTTGCTGGCGCGCCCTCCAGTGCTGAACGAAATCTTTCAGGCAACTGGAGAGATGCTTCGCGGCCAGCGTAGGCAGTCGGGGTGTGCCTCCACGGTGTGAGCACCATGCACCGTATGCGGCGAAGCGGCGCTCCACAAACGTGCTTGTGGCCACCACGCGCGTGAAACAGGCGTTGAGAAATGCCTGCATCTCCAACAAAGCATCCTTGTTGGGCGCGAGCGCGCGTAGCTTCCTGGAGAAGCACTCGTCCAAGCAGCAATCCCGCTCTGCGAGCAATTCCCCAGCTGCCTGGCGCCGTTCCTCCTCGTTCGCGCCGAAAGCCAATGGCCAGAGGCGCCATGGGTAGCACAGCCATGGGGCGACCAGCTTTCGCCAAAGCTGGCCGGCTGCGACTAGCACCAACTGCTGCACGGCAAGCTGTCTCGAAATGGACCATTGCTGCAAGGGTCCGTGGAAGAAACACACAACTTCCAGAGCCTGCACATTCACCAAGATGTTCAGCAGTGTGACAATGATGGCAGCAGCCGGGTTGCTGGCCGGATTGCAAAATCGACTGATGATATGCCCTTCTTCCGTGCCCGCTTTGCGCTCCGAAACCCACTTGGCATGCTTGAACAGTTTCCAGTGCAGGGTAAGGATGGGGGCAGCAATCACAAGCCAAAGCAAGTTGAAGAAAGCAGCCTCGCGGTCTTCCAAAAACTCGACGGTTTTCAGTCGTCTCTGGTTGGCCACACGCCGCCATTCTGCTCTCTCATCCAAGGGCAGCCCAACGGCAGCGGCTGCGGCTGCTGCCCCCGCATCCACACCGTCTGCATCCTGGTCTTCCTCCCGCTCCTCGAGCTTGCCAAACTCTCGACGCAAGCAGTGGCCCAACAAACCACAGAAGTGCGACATGAACACAACTTTCGCAATTGTTGGCCCAAGCTTCGTCCATTTGTTCAGTGCCGGAGCTGGAAGTGGGCACACAACAGCTTCTTCCACCAAGCGCTGCGCACGCTCCAGTGTTTCTTGGCGGGACCCACAACAACCGCGACAATGGTGAACAGGTTCTCCTGCCGATCTGCAAAAAGGCAAAATGCTTGGAACTGTGATGGAATCTAGCATCCTGGGCTAATCTTATATAACTTATATATGTCTCCACTTTATAAGAATCATTCCCAAACGAACCGAAGCCTCACTTCAATTACTCCAATATACAGACCCGAAAACCCAAAACAACTCTGACAACTGCAACGGCGACGGCGTCCTGTCCAGGGGCCTGGGAAGAAGTCCAGCAGCTCCTCCATGGGATTCCTCTTGGCGGCGTCCACAGGCTGCGGCCCTTCGCAAGCCATGCATAAACGAACAAGTTCCTTTGCCGCAGATGCCGCTTCTTGCCACAGGACCCGCTGCGCCAGCGGTGGCTGCCGAACAACTCGCACAACTTGGGCCAATCTGCCCTTCAAGTGCTGCCGCAAGTGATTCAACGTATGCTGGTAATTGAATACTTTACTCAGGCAGAATACCCCGGTCAGGTTTCCAACGGCCTTGGTCAACGCTTCGATTACGTTGGCAGCACGATGCTGCGTGCACAAACTGACAAGCAGCAAATGGTTGCGAGGAAGCACGACTTGAAGTTGCTTCAGACACTTCAGATTTGCCCGATGGGCATCACACGATGCAAGAGTGGCCAAAGCGGGCGCATCCACGTGCTCTTGCAAACCTCCTGGCAGGCGATGCAGTGCACCGGACAATGATGCCGCGTTGTAGCGGGGCAAAACCTGAGGAGCACGAATCACGTGCTCATCCTTGACTCCAAATTCGTCATCTCCCGCAATGTTTCCAGCATTCGCGGCGCTGACCCGGTAAGATACCTGCACGTGGCTGCACAGCACAGACTGCGTCACAGCAGCATTGCTTTTGTTCCACGTAAGGTCGAACGACGTTTCATCCCACATGATATTGCGAATGAAAAAATCCAACGGTAGCCGCCTGATGTCCCGCAAACCTTCGGTTTGACGATTCATCGCAACTTCAGCAACGATGTAGCGGCAGTCTGAAGCTGGTCCGTGTCCGGCACCCTCAATCTGCTGGGCCACGTCCCGCTGACCGGACACTTCTGCCCCAAACCCAGCACGGAGGATGGCGTCGGGGGTCCAGCATTTCCATCGCCCTTTGCCCCGAACCGGCGCTCGTTTTTCGGAAGGCGCAACGATACGATGGTCGGCTGTCCTTGCCTGGCCACTGCGATTCAAAGACTCT